GTCTCAGAGCTGACGGTGGCTGAGGTGGAGAGGAGAGGAGACAGCACACTCTTATCAGGGGGTGACATCAACAGGACCTGCTGCTGTGGGCTGGAGGGGAGGGCAGGAATCCACAGCCCCTATGAGGTTTCTGGCTGGAGTCGGTGAGTAGAGGCGGTGCCGCCCACATGGAGAAGGGGGTGAGGGGACTGGGAAGGGGTGGAGAAGCTCTGGTGTCCAGAGCCCTGGGGATTTGAGACGGAAGCGAATGCCTGCCCTCCGTAAGCTCGTAGTTCAGTGACTAGTGTGGGGATGGGCTGTGGCTGCAAGGACACAGGGTGCCAGGTGGGGTGCAAGGTGCCACAGGTGTCTGAGAGTGGGGCAGCTGGCCTCGCCCACACCACAGCCAAGGTGGTTGTCCCGAAGCTCTTCCCAGGCTCCTCTCAGTCCAAAACGGATGGAGTGGCGACTCGCTGTGGCTTTGGGGTGCACATTGCTGATTGGGAGGCCAGGGCGACAAATTATTTTCCACAGGAAACCCAAACGAGATAACACCTCAGTGGGATTCCTCAAAACGAGGCCCCAGCAGTGTCTCCCTGGCTGGCAAGCAGGGCTCTCCTGGGTGGCGTGACCTCAGGTGCCTGGCCAGCCACCTACTCCCCTCCCCTCCGAGGTGGGTCCCACCCAGAAGTGGGAGGGGACATTGGCTGACCCTGCTCAGGGAGCTTAAAGTGCTTCGAGGCTTCGGTGGGAAATTTTGGCAGGAGTAGGTTGTTCAGAGCAGTTAGATCCTGCCTCTCAGGTGTCAAAGACGGTGATGCAGTATGAACTGGGGGGTGTGTGTGTGTGCACGCGCTGGCTGGCTGTGTTTGACCTGGAGGCTGGAGGATGGCTGGGTTCCTCAGCTCAAAATTCTGTCTCTTGCTGAAGACACAAGCCTTCAAGGGGCTTTTCCTGTTCGGGGGAGTGGAGTGCGTATCTTCCTACTGACAGCCTGCCCTTGAGTAATGGCTGGACGCGAAATTCCCGGGCCATGGTGTGCTAAAGGGAATCTCACTGGGATCAGAAGAAAGGATTTATTGAAAGCAGATTAACCAAAGTTGCCAACTGAGTCATCTCTATGATTGGGCTGAATGGATGGAGCCACACATGGGTTATGATTTGTTCTTAATTTTTAAATTGATTTTTGATTGAGAGAGTGAAACATTGACTTGTCGCTCCACCTGTTCATGCACCCATTGGTTGCTTCCTATGTGCACCCTGGCCGGAGATTGACCCTGAAACCTTGGAGCATCAGGACAATGCTCTAACTGCCTGGGCTACCTGGCCAGGGCTGGGTTATGTTTTTGAAGGACATTGGGTAGAATTCCTTCCTTATAAATGCCTCCCCCACAAGCAGCCCTAAATAACCAAAATCTGTGGAACTGGCATCTATATAAGATGAGACATGGCGATGTCTGAGAAGTGGCACAAAGAGGTGACGTGGGACTCGAGGAGAGGGAGGAATAGTTGCCGCTGGGATGCCGGGCCGGAGCCGGGGCAGAGGGGACATGAGGTGTGGGTGGGAGCCAGCAGCCAGGCACGTGCTCGCAGTGACTTCCGCAGCAGGAACACCGTCGGTGTCTGTGGTGGGGGAGCAAGCAGTGCCACAGACAGACAAGTAGTCCGGTCTGGCTGAACTGCAGTATCATCATCTATGAAGAAGTGTAGAGATCATCTGATACAATCTTGCAGCAAAATCTGAGAGGAGGGAGGTGTCCTCTGTCCTGTGGCTAAGGCTCACAAAGAGCCTGCAGCCGGCTGAGCCAGGACGGAGGCCAGATCCTTGGACCAACAACCCAGGGCTCTCTTCATGGCATCAGGGTGCCCCTGCCTACTGAGGGCACAGGCACTGTGGAGGGTTTCAGATGCTCGCTGAAGCCACTGGGGCTTGATTCAATCAGCAGTGCGTGCTTATCTCTCTTCGAGTGGGGAAACATGAACTGTGCTTCAGACACTGAATCTGGCAGGAGTGTTAGGACGAATTGGAGACCTGGCTACCGAAGGCAAGTTGGCCACTTACAAGAACACGGGTGCAGGTGGAGGTCACAGTCATGAGATGGGGCTGATTTAACCTGAGGGTCAAAGAAGCAAATGGCTTCGTCCCAAGTCAGATAGCTAAGTGGCAGTGCAGCTGAGGTTCCAGTTTTCAAGCTTGTTTTTAACGCCCATGTTCTGGGGTTGGTCAGTTTTCTAATCCAGTTGAAAGCAAAGCCAACATACGTAGAACCAAGTAACAGCGCTGTGGTGCACCGTCTCTGAAGGCCAATCTGCAGGCTTCATGAAACAGTGTCTATGACCCTCCTGGGCGCCCAGCCCTGGAAGGCACTAGGAATGGGAGCGGGTGGTAGGTGTAGAAGTGCAATGGAGCTAAGTAAAAATCATCGATTTTTAGACATATATTCTAAGTTGGTCTGAGTAGAGAAGTTGTGGAAAGGTGCCTGTTGGTCTAAGAAGAGGTGAATTTACCGGGCTGTAGCCTGCCCACCGCACCGGAGCTAATGCCCATTGAATGAGGCAGGGGTTAGCACTGAGGGCCTTGGCCCAGACTTCCTCACGCCCAAAGCCTCGGATGCAGGGATTGTTGAAACGTGGGGATGTTTCTAAGTCCTGGTAACACCTTGGCTGTGCACATGCATCTTCGTTAGGACATCAAAAGCGGCCCCACGTTCTGCTGGCTGTTTCTCTGTTTGTTTCCCTGCCTTGATGCCTCTGCTTCTGAGTTCCTGGCACTTTTTTGTCCATGAACCAGCCCCCCTTTTTGACTTCCTGGCCACGCACCCTTAGAACAGCCTGCTTGCTCCTCAACCTTTCCTCCCTGTTGTTTTATCCGGGGCTCCTCCAAGTCCAGTTTCCTGTGTGTGCCCTTGCCGCTGGGAGTCCGGCCCCACTCTCTCCCCCACCTCCTGGCATCGTGTGTGCAGCTCCCAGGGATCCCTCCTGAGTTCCTGGGCGGGATCTCCCTCTCCCTCTCCCTCCCACGGGGTTTTCTGCTGAGGACGAAGGCTCAGGCACACCTTGTGCTCCTCCATCCATTTCGGGTTAACCGTGCCGACTGCAGGCAGAACTCCAGACTCTTGGGCGGGGCTGCTGCAATGCCGCTCTCCTTGCTGCAGATACAGGAGATCCTGAAGTCGGATGGGGTCTGTTTCAGAGGTCTCAAGCTCAGCTGGTTAGCCTCCTGGTTTCTGGACTGCCTGCGCTTCTGTGCAGTCCTCTGAGGAGGAACTGATTGTGAAGGAGTAGAGAGGAGAGATGGCGCCCATCAGGATCCCCAGGGTCCAGCAGATGTCACATAAAACTAACAAAACAGAATGAATGGGAATGGGAAGTAGAAGCACCCGCAGGCTTCTTCAGCGACCACCTTTCAGTGTGAAGATGTCCCGGGCACCAGGAGCGACGGAACAGACGCTCTGGTGACAACAGCGGTGTCCCAGGGGTCTCAGAACGCTGCTGGTTATTCCGTTCTCCATGAACAGGTCTCAGATTCTGTATGTTTGCAAGTAATTGGTTGTACGGCCAGTTTGAAAGATCTTTTTTCCTTCGTTTCCATCTGCTTAGCAGTGCCTACCTGCCACCTGTATTACTCAGGCCGCTCCCCATGTGGTGACGGTTTGTGTGAGTGACGACCACACAGCTCCTTGCCAACCTTGAAGAGTGGTTGAAGGTTCAGGTTCTCTCAGCCCAGCTGCCGCACCTGAACCTCCCCGGTGCTCCCAGCCCAGTTCCTTTCTGTCTTTCTCGCTCATCTCTACATCAAGGTCATACCACTTTTCAGTGGTACAGCCCAGATCAGAAGCAGGGCCAGCATCCATTGCCCTGTGCTGGTAAACTACAGCCTACCTGGGTTGACAGTGGGCAAGGTGAGGCAGGCAGCTGTGGTGGCTTCTCTGTTCATTCTTCTCTAACCTGCTCTGCCAGGAAGCCACCGGGGCTGGTCTTCAGAGCATTGGGCTGGTGCCAGGAGACCTGTGTTCTAAACCTGCCTTCACACTTCTCAGTTTCCTCATCTGGAAGAGAGGGGGTCAGTTGATCGCCAAGCTGCTTCTAGTCTGAGTATACAGATCGAGTATATGTTTTGTGCCAGGCACTGTTGATGGAAAGCAAGGTGCCTGCTTCCTGGCGGTGCTTTCGTGAACTGGAGGTGGATGGGTGAGCGCAGCCCTTCCAAGCAATTCATCCCCCACATCTGGGGCCCAAACACTTGTGCTCAGCTCCTGCTTGAACAGCCGTGTTCCTTGGAGACGTCCCACAGTGCTTCTTCCATTACTCATCTGTCTTCCTGCTATCTGCTTTAGAGGGATAAATATAGGTGCGTTTTTATCTGGTGTAGAGTATCTTCTTTCTGCCTTCCATTTAGTCTGACTGAAGTCCATCTTATTGTAATTGATAGCTGTTTTATCTAGTTTCTGGGAAACTTGGAGCAAGATTGGCCTGGCGACGCATGGTGGCCCTTTGTGATACGTGTGTGTGTGTGTGTGTGTGTGTGTGTGTGTGTACACATATATATGAACAAAAATGTTCAAAACTGTCTGCTGGCCTGCGAGGCTCAACTACAAGAGGAAAAGAAAGGATCCTTGTTCTTGAAAAAAATCATAACTTATGCAGAGGCACAGGTGGGCGTGCCCTAGGAACAAAGGTGAGGGGTATGTCTGTGTGTCCCCGAAGGAGGGTTGTGTGTACATGGCAGTGACCTAAGGGTGCTGCGTGCAGAGGGACCGACTGGCTGCACTTCCGTCCTGTGGGTCACAAGAGGCATGTGCCACTCGGGAGCCCATTTCAGAACTCCTCTCTTTCTCGCATTTTTCAGATCTCATGCAGGCACTCGAGGGAGGGGAAGTGCTTTGGCCCCGTCCCTCGCATTTGTCCCTGAAAGAAAGGGAGGTGCTCCTGGTCGGGCTCAGGCCCTTGTCCTCCGAGTCCCTGGCAGACGCCAGAGCCTCCCCACGGCCAGCGACTGACCAAAGCTCTTTCCCTTCCAGAGACGAGAAGAACCAGTCCATCATCGTCAGCGGCGAGTCCGGGGCCGGCAAGACCGTGTCGGCCAAGTACGCCATGCGCTATTTCGCCACGGTCGGGGGCTCCGCCAGCGACACCAACATTGAAGAGAAGGTCCTGGCGTCCAGTCCCATCATGGAGGTAAAGCCTTCCGAGCGCCCTTGGCCTTCCTGGTTGGGGTCCCTGCCGCTGCAGCGGGACTGCAAGGTGCCTGGCCTCGTGTGGCCACTCATCAGAATCCTTGGACGCCCCTCGTGTGGTCAGCGTTCCCGTCTTTCCCTGAGAGCCCTTTGTCCACTGTTGAGGAAAAAATTACGAAGGTGCCCCCGGGGCCACAGATTTGGGAACAACCTGACCTGGTAGCGTCCTTCAGGGACCCAGTATTGGGTAGAGTGTCCCCTTTGTGTTTCCCTCGTCCCCTGACTCTGCGGAACGCTGTAGGGACCGCCCTTCCCCGTCCACCGCCACCTCTGCTGCTGCTGTCCCGAGTCAGCAGCTCAGTGTCCTGCCGAGCCCATTCGGTGCTGGAAGGTGCCACCGAACCAGGAGAACCATTCTCATGGGGGTGGGAAGTCTAGCTAGAAGATTCCTTCTTTCCCTAAAAATTATTTGGACATTTTATCCTTTGGGGTTGGGGTGTGGGGGTAGAGCCAAAAGCGATGCAATAACATAGAGTCTGTTGAAGATCTTCCGAAAACTGCCCCTGTGATGGAATGAACGGGCCGGGGGCAGGTCCTGTCCCTGGCCATCCCGCCCTCCCATCAGCCCCTGAGCCCGGCAGGCCCGGAGCTCTCGGTGCAGGTGCAGCGCCAGGGAGACGCTAAATGCAACTAGGCACAGTCTGGGGGCAGAACTCTGCTTCCTTTGCTCTGTGAAACCATCGTCCTGATGGAGCAGTGGGGCATGGCCATGCAGTTCCGGCCCAGCTTTGGTTTCCTGCCTGTGAGTCCGAGGCTGTTCATTCATGTCTGGCTGACAGTCTGGTCGGAGTCCACCCCCTGCCAGCCCTGGGCAGCCCCTGAGTTTCAGTAAGAAGAAAATCCGCTGAGGCTACAAGCTGCCAGAGTAACATCCGATTCTCTGCAGTGCCCTGAGCCCCACATTAGTTCACAGGTCACTAAGGTGGTTGGTCTTTCAGATTATTTTGGACCTGGGGGAACAAACACCTGCCCGGACCTTCCCAGGTACCCCCTCTCTCCTTCCCCCTTTCACCAAGTGCCAGAGTAAATTCTGAGTCTCAATTTCCAGGAGCTCACTGGTTATCCAGGCAAAAAATCCCCTGCCAACAGAGTTGTATTATCTGGGGAACTCCATTCGCAATGTGTTCATTGAGAATTTGACTACAGCCAGTTTCGACACCTGTTCTTAATGTGCATTGGGAAATGGTTCATACTTGTACAGTTGAAGGCATTTTTGCAAACAGATAAAAAGAAAATTTATTTTATTACAATGGCCCTTAAACTTTCCTGTGCATCAGAATTGCCCAAAGGGCTTGTTAAAGCAGATTACTGGACACCCCGCCCTGCCTCTTGAATTTTTGATGCAGAAGCTCTGGGGTGGGGCTCCAGAATTTGCATTTCTCACATGTTCCCAGGTGCTGCTGCTGCTGCTCTGGGTACCATACTTGGAGAACCACTGACCTAGTAAACAGGGAAGACAGGCAGGCATGAAGGGCAGTGACCCCCCGCCCACAGCCTGCTGACAGTCACTCACCGTTGCGGTGTGTTCCCGTCCAGCTCTCTCACTGGCTGGTGTAGGACAGGCCTTGTCCCATTTCATTAAACATCTTATGAACTGTCTTACTGGCTGCAAACGTATGTTACCAGGTTTTCACCATAGTTTGTTTAACTCGATCGTCAGGCATTTCGTTGGTAGCCCACTGGCTCACAACGTACATTCTAAGCCCCGAGGCGGGGCCTGGCCACGGCCCGGTTCAGAAAGTGACTGTGGACCGTGGCCTGGGCCTCCCGGGACCATCTGCTGCACCTAAGATGAGGCAGCTCAGAACAGCGCTGGCTCTGTGTTTCAGTGCCAGTGGGAGCAAAACCTCTGCCCGGGAGTTTCAAAATTCAGTTCGTCTTCGGGTAGCGAGGCTTCAAAGACACGGAGTGTCTCCCCTGTTGGAGACAGGGGAAGTGGCTGCTCTGGGCCGAGCAGAGAAGGAAAGACACCTGTCTGATCTCTGGTGACTGGACAGAGTTGATTAGTCAGAATTTAATGACGGCAGGTCACTATGGTATTAAACCTGTGTGAGACCCAGGGTGAATGAGTTTTTAAGTGTTACTGTGATAAAACGTGTGATACAAAGTTACCACATTAAGTGTACAGTTACAAGTGGTGGTAAGTACACCCACGTGTTGTGCAACCGTCACCATTCTCCATTTCCAGGGCTTTCTCATCTTCCCGAACAGACGCCCTTCCCACTGAACACTCACTCCCCTTCCCCTCCCCCTCCCGCCCACCCCCCAGCCCTTGACAGCCACTCTTCTGCTTTCTGTCTCTATGGATGTGCTTCTTCTCGTACCTCCTGTAAGTGGAATTACACACTGCTTGTCTGTTTGGGTCTGGCCTATTTCACTTGGCATGTCTTCAAAGTTCATGTTGCAGAATGCGCCCTTGTTATGACTGGGTAGTTTTTATTGTGTGGCTCCACCATATTTGGCTTGTTCATTCCTCTGTTAATGGACACTTGGTTGGTTTCCCCATTCTGGCTACTGTGAATAATGCCACTGTGACCATTGGCATGTAAGTGCCTGTTTGAGTGCCTGCTTTGGGAATGCTTTTTTAAATGACAGTGGTCTAAAGCTGTCTAGTGTTTTCAGCGTCCACTACAGCCAGAGCAGGCTGGTGGGCTGCTGGGGGAGCAGGGTGCTTTGCTCTGGGAGGAATGTGAGAGTGATGTGTGCGCCCCAAAAGACACCAGATGTGCTTCAGTTGCCAAGGTCTAAAGGAGGTGGCGTGTGCCCTGACCTGATGGCTCAGTGGTTGGGCGTTGTCCTGCGAAGGGAAGGGTTGCTGGTGTGATTCCCCGTCAGGGCACTTGGGTTGCAGGTTCAGTCCTCGGTCGGGGTGTGTACAAGAAGCAACCAGCGAATGTTTCTCGCATCAGTGTTTTTCTATCTCTCTTTCTCCCTCCCTTTCCCTTTCTCCAAAAAACTAAAATGAAAAAGTACAGGCGTGTATACACAAACAAGCCCGATCTTGCACGGTGTCACACAAATAAATGCTACAACAGTTTGGGCTCAAAACATTAAGTCTCTGTCTGGGACAGTCGGTGCGTTGGCAACTTTGTGAGTCCTGAGTGCTCATTCTGTCAAATGTAGAATTTTTGTCACCATCGAGACTGTCCCTTGGGCTGTTATGAAGTGTCACATTAGAGAGAAGTCTTGGACATGAGCAGGGACCGGAAGAGCCCTGGGCAGGGTCTCTTTCTCTGGTTGCCCTGGTTTCGTGGTTGAAAGGTGTCAGAGCAGTGGGCTCTCTGTGTCTGTGGACCTTTCCCTCATGGTCTCAAGATGACTGCGACAGCTGTTGCGATCACGTGCACATTCCAGGCAGGAAGTAGAGTCCACCAATCAACTCATTACTGTGGTCAGCCATCCTTCGGAACGAAGGGGGCAGAAAACTGAAGCTCTGTTTTGCTTTGGCGCGGCCCGTTGTCGTCCTGATAGCAGAGAGGTGCGGTGAGGGAGGAGATGCCGCCACAAACAGGTGGTCCTGACATCCAGAGAGCCCTGCCCACTGTGCACAGCTTTGGTTGGTTTGTTCTCAACAGGCCATCGGAAACGCCAAGACCACTCGCAACGACAACAGCAGTCGCTTCGGGAAGTACATTCAGATCGGCTTTGACAGAAGGTACCACATCATCGGGGCCAACATGAGGACCTACCTGCTGGAGAAGTCCAGAGTGGTCTTTCAGGTGCGTGGTGTGCCCCGGGCTTCCTTGTGTTGTTTTCCCCCTGGATGCTCATACCTGCCCCCTCCCCCCATTCCCCGTGTCCAAAGAGCAACTCAGCTTTCCAGCCTGGGCTTGGATACCTTGCTCTTTCAGTCTTCTTTCTCTCCTTTCATGAGTAAGTATGGATTCCGTAGCCATGGACATCGTGCCTGAAAAGCCTTTTATCAGTGCTGTTATTTCTCTGTGAGTATTACTTTTAGACTCAACCAACGAGCACATATTGCCTGCTCACCTGTGCTACGTGCTGAAGACAAGGCGAGGACCCCATCAGCCCGCTCCTCGTGGTGTCAGGGTCACGAGCAGGGCGACGGCATGCGGTGTCTGTGGGTCTCAGCGGACCCCAGCCTCCTGCCCACGGGCACGCTGGGAAAGGGGGGGAAGCCCACTCGCTTCCCTTTCCAAAGTAGTAGATGCCCCGCTTCTCCCCGGCCCTGGTTCTTCATCTCTCTGAGCTCACCTTCCATTCCCTTCCCCCCCACTGCCCTTCAGCCTTTCAGTGGCCTCTCCCTCCTCCACCCTGGCCTTTCGTGGTGGTCAGTGCAGCTCACCACATGAGGAGCGGGGGCCCTCCTGCAGCCCCCTTTCAAAGTCCCATCACTGAACCATGCCGCAGCATGTGCTCTGGTGTGAGCTGGCCGCACGCTCTTCCCCGGGTCAGATGGCGTCCAGGCCCTGACACTGCAGCTGCCATCAGAGGGGACATCAAAAATAGCCACAGCCCTGCGCTCCTCAGTGGCACCTGACCCCATGCCGATCCTTAGCAATGGACTTAATGCGTCTCCACACCGGCTTCACTGTTTTTTTTTTTTCCTTGTATCACCTAGGCTTTTTCTCCCCATCCCAGGTTTGAGCTGACAACCCCACACCCTTCCTTTCCCTGCAGCAAAGCAGACAGCCTGCCATACTGGCTGTGGGTTGGGGTGCTGGTTGGGGTGCTGGTTGGGGTGCTGGCCACGGCTCTGGATATCCCAGGAGCCTTCCTCTTCCTTGCTCCTGTGGTCAGGCCTCCTGAAGCCCCTGCCACCACTGCTAGCAGAAGGCAGGTCTGGCCCAGTGTCCACTCTGAGGCCTCTCTCAGCCACAGACCTTTCCTGTGTGCCCAGCCTGATGGTGGGCTAGAGCCCAGCGTTTCCTTGGCTCCGAGCCTCCCTGAGGGGATGGGAAGCCCACCGCGGGGGAATTGTAGTCTGTGCCCAGGCAGCCTGCAGCACAGCTGCCCATCACTGTGCGCTGATGGATGGACCCACCATTGGGGGAATAGCAATGATGTTCTTCATAGGAGGAAAGGGAAAAATGCATGCTTTCATTTAAGAGGTGAAACTCCTGCCCTGGCTGGTAGAGCTCAGTGGGTTGAGCATGGGGCCTGAAAACCAAATGGTCACTAGTTTGATTCCCAGTCAGGGCACATGCCTGGGTTGTGGGCCAGGTCCCCCAGTAGGGGGCACGTGAGAGGCAACCACACATTGATGTTTCTCTCCCTCTCTTTCTCCTTCCCTTCCCCTCTCTCTAAAAATGAATAGCTAAAATTCTGAACAACAAAAAAACACGAGGTGAAAATCCTCAGGTTGGAAGGAGGCCCCCTAATTGTGAATGGAAGTTCACTACTGAATGGTAGGAATTGAAGGGGGCACCGTGTGCAGGGACCGTCGTGACCTCTGTCACCCCGAGCACCCTGGGATTAGGATGAGGAAGGGGCCGATCTTGGGGGCGACGGCCCTAAAGCTGCTTAACTCTATTCTCCTTCAGGCAGACGACGAGAGGAACTACCACGTCTTCTACCAGCTCTGCGCTGCGGCCAGTCTTCCGGAGTTCAAGGAGCTCGCACTCAGTAAGCCAACGGGTGCCCGTCCGCTGGGTGGGCTATAGCCGGTGGCGGGTGTATGTGGGGGCTCCGGGAGGAGGAAGGGGGCTCTGCTCAAAGCCCACTGTTGTGGGGACACATCCCTTCGGTCCCTTTACCCAGGGCTTCATCACCCGGTCAGTAAAAAAGCATTAATTGCACCCGGGCTTTCTGCCACAAAAAACATTGGCAAGGATAAGAGGCAAGGAGTGGAATGGTGTTTGCAGAGCAAAGAAGAATTTCTAAGTATTATTGTTTTGAAAGAATGTTTGCACTTTTTAAAAATTTAATTTTTATCTAATCTCCCAAAAAAGGTTTCCACTTTTCACATCCTAAGAAATGTGCCCCCACCACGAGGATCTAGAGGTTTAATTGATGCCATCACTTACTGTGACTGACCTGTGTTAAGTGACAAAATTAAGGGCTGAGACAGAGAAAGAGACGGGAGGGAGCGAGAGGATAGACCCGGGATAAAGGAGGGTCGCTGGAGAGGCACGTTGCTGAAGCCTGGGCCTCACCTGCGGGAAGGCAGGAGTGGGGCCGCTGCTCAGCGCTGCTGGGCAGCCGTCCTCGGGGGTCTCCCGCATGCCAGCCCTGCAGCACTGGGCAGGGGGATGCAGTGGCCCCGGGGATCCCATCAGATAAACAGACCGTCCTGCGGTGGGGCCTGGCCACCGATTCAACCCTCGGCCTGCCCTCTGCACTGCCTGCTGTGCTCGCCTGGGGCGCCTGTGCCGTGCAACTTAGTGTTGGTCCCTTCAGCCCCGACGTGGCACCGGGTGCCACGCCCCACACCACAGCGTGCCTGGCTGTCCTCACGCAGCTCATGGTGGTCCCAGTGCAGAGTGCTGAGCAGATGCTGAGGGAGGCCTCCACTGACGCAGGTCAGAAGGTTCTGGGGGGAAGCAATCATTCAATTTAGACCCAGGAGGAAGCCCTGGAAGACACGCATTATGTTGGTTGTTCCTTGGACTCTGGTTGTTCAGTGTTTGCGAGTAAAATCGTAAAGTCCTTGGGTGCAGGAGTGGCTGTTACGAGCTTTGTTTAGGGAGCAGGGACCTTGAGACGCTTGTGTTGGCTTATGGTCACAAGAGACTGGGAAGACAAGCCACATTATTGGCCACTGCCACCCTCCCCGCTCCATCCCAGAGAGGGACACAGACCCAGCTGGGCTTTCCGGGGCTAACCTGCAGGAGATGACAGTTTTTGTAAGACCAGTTGTTATAGAAAATGAACAAATCCTGGCAGGATCCATCGGGCTGTATCTGTACCCTTTTCCCCGAGCAATGTGGCTTTCAGGTAAAAGGGAAGAAATCCTCCTAAGTTTTTTGCACTCACATTAGTGCACGAAGGTGGAAACGGCTCTTCCTTCTCCCGAGTCTCTGCGAGATGCAGACTCCCTGGGCTCCTGGCCGGGTCAGCTGGACACGACCCAGTTCAGTCAATTTCTCGCACTCCTTTGCCTGCGCGTGCCCCCCCCCCGCCCCCAGAGCATCTGGGAGCGAAGCGGAGACCATTGATAAGCTCTTGTCTCCGTTTCTTGGGGTGGGGCTGGGCCGTGAGCCCCGGAGCGTGACATTTAGCTTCCCTCGTAACACTGGTTGAGTCGGTGGAAGTGCCAAATGAGTGAGAGACTGGTCAGTAGCCTCTAGTGACCGGTTAGACTGCCTCAGCCCCTTGTCTTCACCTAGAACACGCTGTTCAGATGCAGAGAAAAAAGTCCTGCAAGAAGCCGCCCGGCCCAGCAGGAGCCTTGTGCCCTTGCGAGTGGGGGGGCAGACTTGCGTGTGGTCATCGCTGCTCCCCTCCGTCCTGTTGGCGGTGCTCTGTCCCATTCCCGTGGCCGCAGGACGAGCTGTTTTTTTTCTTTCTAGAAAGCAGCCCAGTGAATACTTTGTTACAGTGTGAATGAAAGAGGTGTAATGGGCCAGTAGTTGCATGACTACAGCCTCTGGGTAACAAGGAACAAATCCTTTCTTCTTTTTCATTCCATTGCTGTGTCAATGCAGTTTTATCAACCGTCTCCCTTGCCTTGCACAGGCCAGAGCGTAGCCACCCTCCCTGCCCCAGGTGAAGTGCAAGCACTTGGCCGTGGCCCTGGGGGTCCACTGCTCTGATCACCGGTTCATGCCCCCTCCGTGGTCTGTACTTGGCCTGATTCACAGTGTCTGCCTGTTGAGCCAGTTCGTAGGGGATGCTGCGGTGTTTTCCTCCCTGGAAACTGCAAGTGCAGAGAGGCCCAACCTGGAGGACAGGAGGAGTCGTTCTAGGACAGGGTGCTGGCTGGTGACAGCGTCCTGGGCCTGACGGAGACCCGAGGAGACCCGGGCAGGCTCAGCAGACGGGGGGAGTGTCTCTGAGACATCTGTCTGATTAAGAGGGCCCAGAGGGTGATGCCAGCCAAAGTAACTGCAAACCTTAAGGCAGGCGGAAGGGCGGGGTGGTTGTGATTAGATTCGGGTCATTTGGCAGAGAATGCTGCGGCTGAGCCTGAGGCCCCTGTGGTGAGGGCCTCAGCCGGGAACGGGACCCAGTGGGGCCCCGAGCTTGGGAACTGGAAGCCGGGAAGGTGGGGTGGGGTGTCCGACTCAGGAGGGCCCTGGCCGTTGACAGCAGGGGGTCTTCGATAGACGCTGCGAATGCCTCCTTCCCTCCAGGACAGAGGTCTAACGTCCTCCTCTTGGGTAACTTCCCGGTGGGTTCAGGCGCCACTTTTGATAACGTGTTAGGTCGAATTTGTGGCTAAGTCATGGGATCTCACAGGTGAAGAACCGTTTCCTCGACAGGCGATCTGGTAACGGGCTCCCCCGCCTGCCACACCCTGGCCGAGCCTGGGCAGCCTCTTACAGCCACTATGGGTTCCTCAGGCTGCCGGCCAGAGAACGGGAGTAAATAATACCTCCGGGTTTCCCCACACATGCCCCGTAAAAAAAAATCATCAAATGTTTAGGAAGGTGAGTGTAAAGGGAAATGGGAAGGGTGCTTTTATTAGACCTTTGACACTGTTACTCTATGCCAGAGCTCCCAGGGGCGTTCGGCAGGAAAGAGCTAAACATGAAAGCCCCACAAAGACCGGAAGTGGCTTCCTTCATCCAAGCTCATGGTGGCTGTGTCTGGGCGCGAGGTCAGGCGTGAAGTCCCTCCCCTCACAGCTCAGGTACCACCAGTCATCAGACTGGAGGACTCCTCCAGGAAGCCTTCCTTCCTTCACACACTGCCACTGGCACTCAGCTCTTCGCTGCTGTGGGCAGAGGGGTTGCCTAATGTGTAGAGCTCGGGCTGGGTGAGACGAGTTTGGGACAGAGTTGTGCACTTCCTCGCTGGGCCTGGCCATGTGCACTTGACCGGCGGAGGAACTGATAAAGTGCAGTGTGGCTTGGAGCAGGATGCGAGGTGAGAAGTGGGGAGAGACCAGGAGGTCAGGTGAGCAGGGCCCTTTAAGGCGCCAGTGGGGGCAGAGCTGAGGTACGACCGTAAGGAAGCTGGTGTATGTGGGGCAGAGAGATGGGGAAGGACAAGCAATGAGTGGGGGGTGGCAGGGGGAAGCCACTCTGTGAAGAAAGGTCCAGGAGGCCCTTTTAGGGCGTTTGAGCTTTGCCTTGAAGGCTGTGGCCAGGAGAGGGTCACTCAGGGCTGTACATAGGAGAGCTGCAGGGTCGGAGGTACCAGCTGTTGGGGGGGATGGGAGCAGAAACAGGGAGACTGGTTCAGTCTTCCCCAAGAGGCCCAGACGCCGGAGAGGGCAGTGACCATCAGGACGGAGGAGGGAAGGAGACTCGGGAACTGCCCAGGGGTCCAGTTGGAAACTTGGGGTGTCGAAGGCGGCCTGCCTGGGCCCTGCCATGCCGCCGAGTCTGCGCACACTTGGCTGGCGTGTGTCTGGCTGCACGTGCTCAGGTCCGGGGGAGAGGATGAGCTAGGGGAGCAGGAAAACCGGCCAGGGCTCGGTTTTGACCTCTCATCCAAGTCGAACGTTTTACCCTTAGGGACACTAAGTACCAGGCAGCATTGTACCACACAACGCTGCTACACGTTCGATGGAAAATTTAAGTGATTTTCAGGGGTGATTTTGATTGTGTGTGTTGCCTTAAATGCCAATTTCCCAGCTGCCCGGTGTGAATGCTACCCACAGCTGGTCGAGTTTTCTCCTTCTGCTAAGGCTGGGCCCCTGCGCACCAGCTGTCCCCAGGCTGTGCCCAGAGGCTTGACTGAGGGGGATGAGACCGGGGGTGAGGCCAAACATGAGGGTCTCAGCCTTGTTCCCGGGCCTGCGTAGCCCAAGGGTGCCCCGACTCGCTGAGACATGCCAGGGAGCCAGAGCCAGGTCTCCCTGGGCACCTCACAGGCCCTCCCTTGTCAGATGAGCTCATCGCACGGAGACCGAAGGCGATGACGCCCATGATTCCTGGGTGGCTGCATGTCTCCATTGCGTGTGTCAGACCCTCCTCAGAAACACGTCCGTGATGAACAACCCTGCCTCCCAGCGAACTCTCCGTGACTGGCTTGCCTTTCACGTGCACGTGGTTTTCTCAGCACAGCTTTACACAAACACAGCAAACCCATTCTGACAGCGGAGCCTCATTTTCCAGCTTTCCTTCCTTGGTTTTCTCTCCCACGTGCCGAGGAAGGCAGCGTTTGGAAGGGCTCCGCCTCGTCTGGGAACGCAGTCCGGCCTGGGGGAGCTTGCTCAGGGAGCAGAACTGCTCACGCGTCAGTCACCGTCTGCAGGTGAACTGGGGGTGGTCGAGGCTTCCCTCCAGCGCCTGATGCCCCGCCCCCTTCCTTCCACAGCTTGCGCCGAGGACTACTTCTACACGTCCCAGGGCGGAGACACGTCCATCGAGGGCGTGGACGATGCTGAGGACTTTGAGAAGACGCGACAAGCCTTCACGCTCCTCGGTGAGGGGCTTGGGAGGCAGGGGGCGGGGGGGGGGGGGCAGGAGGTCTGATGCTGATGCCACCGAGGGGAGAGAGGCAGAGCCTCAAGCTGCGGGGCCTGTCCGCAGTCACCAGCTGCTGCAGGAGCCTGCTCATCCCTGGGGAGTCTCTTCCTGCTCCCTTCTCCTCCTGTCCTGGCTCTTGGCTCCAATGCTTAAGGCTTGGGGCTTTGTTGACTTTTCCGAAAAGTAAGAAGTTGAGAGTTGCTCTGGTTGGTGGGTCATCTAAGTAAAGTTTTCAATCCTAGCATGATGCACTTTCATGCCCACTGATACAGGTGGTGCTGGCATTTTTATAGCCCAATAAATGATTGCCTTAAAATTAAGTAAGTAGCCCTGGCTGGTGTAGCTCAGTGGATTGAGCGCGGGCTGCGAACCAAAGTGTCGCAGGTTCGATTCCCAGTCAGGGTACATGCCTGGGTTGCAGGCTATAACCCCCAGCAACCACACATTGATGTTTCTCTCTCTCTCTCTATCTCCCTCCCTTCCCACTCTAAAAATAAATAAATAAAATCTTAAAAAAAAAATTAAGTAACTAGAGCAGGGGAGGAATGTCGGGGAAAAATTGTACCCTCCCCCAAACTGAGCGGTAGGTTGACTGGCGTTCATGACATTATTGTGATTTTTTTAAGTCTGAAATATCTTGCAATTGAAAAAGAAAGGATAATGCTTTAAAGCTGAGTATGAACAATAAAAGACTATACATGTCTTTGGTGACTTAGTTGCATAAAGTGGACAGTGGGTGTTTGCTGCTGCGGTGGCCCCGAGGTAGGTGGCGGGCATGCCTGTCCCGACCGCACAGCCCGGGGCACAGTTGCCTGCAGGACACCCAGCCCCACCTCCCTGGTGCACCCCGAGAGCACTGCTCCTTGCCCCCCACCCCCCGTTGGCCCTTGTCACAGATGTGTGCAGGGCATCATGTTGGGAGAAAGATGACCTCAGACAAAGGGCCAGTCTTATCAAACTGGTGAAAACATCCATAAAGCATTCAGTTGAAATCTCAAGTCTGAAATGAGCCCTCATGATTGCGCCTCTCCTCTGCTCCTGGAAATTAAATCGGTGCCGTGACCCAGCTGGTTTGATCGGGGCGATCGACGTGAAGATGCGTCCCTGTTGCCTGGGGGGCCCCTCGGCCCTGGGGCCGCCACCCCTGCGCGTGGTGATCGCCTGGGGAGGAGCTGGCACCACTTCAGGCGTCGCCGGCCCAGAAAGGAAAATCAAACCTTACTCCTTTTTCAAGTCCTGACAAGAAGGGTGAAATGTCCTTTCCATCCTGCGTGGACGTCGAGTGTCATGGGTTCTTTTGTTTTCCTCCCCAGGAGTGAGGGAGTCCCACCAGATAAGCATCTTTAAGATAATTGCTTCCATCCTGCACCTCGGGAACGTGGCGATCCAGGCGGAGCGTGACGGCGACTCCTGCAGCGTGGCGGTGAGTCGAGCTCCAGCACCGGGGATGGACGCACCCACGTCTCCGGTGCTCCGGCCACACCCAGCGGGATCTGCCTGTGCACTCACAGGGCGCTCGTGGGTTCTCTGTTCTTACCAGTAACAGGCGCTGTCCCCTTGCTGATGGCTTCTTTCAAGAACAAATCCTTTTCAGATCCGCTGCCATCAAATTTCTGTCACGGAGGGCAGGGAATTGAGTAACTACTAAATAAATCTATTTTTAGTTTTTGATTTTAGAGAGAAACACATGGATTTGTTGTTCCACTTATTTATGCATTTATTGGTTGGTTCTTACATGTGCCCTGACTGGGGATTGAACCCACAACCTTGGTGTGTCGGGACAATGCTCCAGTCAACTGAGCTACCCGGCCAGGGCAATAAATTATTTTTGATGGGTCAATTTGCCAAGCACCCTGAGGCCTGTGGAATCCTACCAAGTGTCGTCAGACCATGAGTACTTGGGGCTCCTGACTGCGGGCCACACTGCAGGGCTGTGGGGGAGGGCTGGACACTGTACTTGGTGGCCGTCCCCAAGGAGCTGACAGTCCAACTGGGGAGAGGAGGCAGCTGACAACACGGGCCAAGATCTTGACAGCGTGAGGCGGAGCCCTGAGACCGCCCCGTGAAAGTGCCGCAGACCGTGAAGTGCCTGACGAATGCTCTTGACAACTGTTTTTTCCCAGCGCCCAAACAGGGCCTGGCAGGTGGTGACCGAAGAGGCCTGAGTGAGCAGAGGGCAGAGGGGGCACCAGGCAGAGCAGACGGCCGCCGTGGGCGCTCACCGGGGCTTCCCTGCGTCGTGCGAGGCAGCGCTGATGTCCCGACCACGAATGCGTGGTCTGCGACAGTGCAGGACAGGCCTCTTTTGTGCCCACTTACCGCGACACAGGCGGTGCTGGAGGTGGGGGAGGAGGGAGGCAGGACAGACAGAGGTTTGGGTTCCCCTTGGGGCAGCCAGCCTTTCCTTCCGAGCTCAGAGCAAGGCGAAGACTTTGAGCACAGGCACTCGGACCAGGCTGGTCTCGGACGGTTCTGTGGCTGGAGGCTGTGCAGAGAACGGATTGAGTGAGTGAGAACTGAGCGTCAGGACAGCCAGCGTTCAAACCCTGGTTCTGCCCCACTTACTGATCGTTACTGAACCTTTCCGGGTCTGTTTCCTCATCTGCAGGGCGGGGGCGAGGTTACCTGCCTTACTTAGCACAGGGCTCCGGTGATTCAGTTCCTACCTGTTGTCATCACTGTGGTTAGAGCCAGAGTGGGCCTTATGAGCACCCTTCTCACTGCACAGGGTGGGAAAAACTAAGGCCCGGAGAGAGGAGACACCTCTAAGGTCTAATGGCCACTGATGGCGAAGCCGGTCCAGAGCCAGCCAGCGTTCTCCCCCCCCCCCCACACCACTGCCAGCCTGGCTGCCCCCCCATGGACTGCCAGTCCCTGGGCCTGGGGCTGCCCTCCTCCGCCTCGCGCCCCCATGGGGCCTAGCACAGTGTGGGGTGCACAGGGTGCGTCCCAGGAATGCTTTGCTGACTAGTTGCCAGTGAAACTCCCCCTCTCCACTGCATTTTGGTTTATTCCTTGGGACACAGGGTGGGCCCCGTACTGGAACTGCTGCCTGTCCATACGCCGAGTGCCTTCTGCTCGCTCGCGTTTACTTTCAATTAAGGCATGAAAATGTGTCCCACGACTGCCCGAGTTGCCTTGGAGATGCAACAGCGCGCAATTACTTGGACGCCAGAGGCAATTTGTTTCTTGAATTTGGCCCCATGGGCCCCACAAACCTAATCTGCTACCTCTGATGCTGGCTATTTGTAATGGATTTGGCATCATTTAATTAAGCTTAAGTGTAAATTACATGATGTCGAATCAGTTTCAATTAGCACCTTTAATCAACAGTCAGAAGGGGGTCATAGAGGGGTACACCACAGCTCACTGCAGTGGGGGGGGGCACCCTTCCCAGGAAGATGATCAGACCCTTTCTCCGCTGCATCCACCCGGGAGGAGCCAGGCAGGGCAGGGCACCTGTGGGCAGCAGGTGTGGGCACTTGTGGAGGCTGGGAGCAGGCCATTGACCTGTCAGGGCATCCAGCTGCAGTGCTGGGCCTGGCAATTACGAATTTCCTGGAAATAGGTCAGACGAACAAGTCAGACACTTGCCTCCTCTGAACCTCTCGCCTGCCAAGCAGTCCCCAGGCGTTCCACCTTACTGCACATGGCTCTGTTTGGGGGAGGGGGGCAAGCAGCTGGGGGGTCCCTGCAGGGGGAGAGGCTTGTCAGCCAGGAGACCTGGCCCCCCGCAACCCCACCTCTCCACACCCACCCGGCCCGTGCTGAATCTCGTGGGCTGGGTGAGGGGCTCTGGGCCACAGTCGGAGGGGCACCCTTCACTGCATTCTCTGCTGAGAAGGTGGGGGGGTGGGCTAGGATGGCAGTTCCCAAGGTATTTTCCTGCGAACGTAAATCCTACGCCTCTTCTTAGGGAAAGAAGGGTTCTTTGGCCTGGTAAATTCAGGAAATGCTTGGTAGAGTACCTGTGTCTTGATGCTGATGGGCTGCCATTACAAACCAGTGCATGCAGTCCTGTTTGACCTGAGGCCTGGCCCCGCCCCTCTTGTTAAGGAGAGCCAGTCGCCATGTCTGTAACCGTTGCCCCACACACCATACTTTGTAAAAACACTGGACCATACTTTGTAAAAACACTGGCCTTGATGGTTGCTGGAGGTTCTTTCCTACTCAGACATTTTGTTACTTTGTAACGGTGTTTGTTTGGGGTAGATTTTAAGTATCTACAGGAGAAATACACACACACATAGAGCCTATATAGAGAGAAAGGAGGGAATGATACAGATATCAGCTCATTTTCATTGAACAAGCCCTCATTTAAATCCTCCCATGCAGCCTCATCAGGAAATGAGTCCCCCCAGCAACTTGGGGCCATCAGGAGGCAGCAGTCATGGTCCAAAGGACTCCCTTTCAGCCTCAGAGTTAATAAGTGTGCCAGCAGGCTCATGGCTGGGTTATCAGCTTTCCTGGGTGGATTTAGATGAGGGGGTGACAAATGGGTGAGAGAAACCTCATAGGAAAAGCAGGTTTTCCGTGAGGTGCCCTGGGTGCCCAAGAGATGTACCCATTGCATGAAAGCAGACAAGTAAGTCCCTGTGGGTGATCTGGTTCTCAGTGGCTCAAAGGCCAGGAAGTGTGATTGGTACCTGGGGTAAAGGAAGGTCAAGATGAAAGGCAGCTAGCTGGCAGGGGCGGCTGTGTTCACTGGGTAGCGGGGCCCTGGGCACCTGGGTGAGACGCTGCCCTGCTCTAGGACTGGGCTTCTCACCCAGATCGAGAGGACTCTTAAGCCGGAGGGATCCTGGCTTGTTTTATTTTTCAGCTCTCAGCCTGTGGTGTTATCAGTTAGTGTTCCAAGTGATTTTTCTCAGGTTAAAACTTGTTCCATGGTTTTACCATTGGTCCCAGCCTTCCATCTGGATTCACCTTGTCCCCTAAGCATCAACTGCTTTAAGAACATACAGTTCAACTGCATGCTCTGTAGTGTCACTGAGGCTAAGATGAAGGAAAGGCTGCTTGCAAGCTCAGGATCGCGCGCATCCGTGCAGGAAGGGCCGCGTCTGTGCAGGGTCAGCTCAGGGCGCCGTTCTGCACACGTGGCTGTCAGGCCGGGTGCTCGTCAAAGTTACGTTCAACAGTGAGCACTTCTTTCTGGGCTCCGGGTTAAGCACTGCACATGGAACTCTGCAGACGGAAACGGCCTTCACTGGGACCCTGCTGCCTTCCCGCGGGCTCCTTAATCTGCACAGTTTATCTGCGCCTAAGTGTCAGTTCTCATGCGGCTCCAACCGGTGCCTCTGCAACCAGCTGGCCATGGGGGAGGGGACGGGACAAGTGGAGCACGTTTTTGTCTGTTAAAGCCCTGGTACTTTGGTGAGTAGCAGGTGCACTATCCTCCACTTGAAACACACTCTTGGGGCCCTAATTGTCGTCTCCACTCAGCGCTGAGTGTCAGTGAGACTTCGGAGCAGCGGCTGGCGACAAAGTGGGGCTCTGCAGTGCTGGGCCCGTTCTGTCGCCGGGCAGGAGGGCAGAGGGCAAAGGGCATGCTGGCGGGCCTGTCCCCCACGCGCCTCCTGAGCCGTCTGCTGTGTCTCTTCCTTCCAGCCTCAGGACGAGCACCTCAGCAACTTCTGCCGACTGCTGGGGGTGGAGCACAGCCAGATGGAGCACTGGCTGTGCCACCGCAAGCTGGTCACCGCCTCGGAGACCTACGTCAAGACCATGTCGCTGCAGCAGGTGGTCAACGCTCGCAACGCCCTGGCCAAGCACATCTACGCGCAGCTATTCGGCTGGATCGTGGAGCACGTCAACAAGGCGCTGCACACCTCCCTCAAGCAGCACTCCTTCATCGGAGTTCTGGACATCTATGGGTGGGTAGGCCTGCACCCTCGCCCCGCCCCCACCCCTCCTGGAGCCCTTGGTGTCTTCCTGCTGGCGTTCGAGAGGCCTCCTGGGCAGGTCTCACTCGGGAGTGGAGGATGTGGGATGGCATTTTTGGTTGTCGCGGTGCCTGGGGTCACTACGGGCACCTGGTGGCCTGGGGCCTGGAGTGGTCAGTGTCCCGCAGCATGGAGGCCAGTCCCGAGGAAGAGTGGGCCCTGTGCAGACACCAGGAGCTCCCCCGGTGAGCAGCCCTGGAGACGTCTGTCTGGGCAGCTGGGAAACGGGCCCAGGGAGGGAGATTCTTGCCCGGCGTCAGACTGGAATTTACTGTGAACTTAAACTCGGGCTTCGTATCTGTCATAGTTAAATCTACCGTTCGACTTGGCTCACTGAGCCTCCAGTCAAGGTGATTACTTTAGCACCACAATCTCACCCAGCTCTGTGCCGTGTCTCCATTCCTGAGGCTTCTCGTGTTTTCGGAGTCCTAACCTGGCGGAAGGGGCCGTGGCTCCTCGTCTCAGCCTGTTTTGCAGGGAGAGGCAGCGTGGCACGGGCAAACCTTACGTGGCCAGGCGTCAGGAGGCCGGCGTTTTGCTTCCTCGCCGTCACCAGCTCGCTGAGCGAGTCTGCAGAGCACAGCCCCTTTCTGGGCTTCCACGGCCGCAGCGCAGGACGAGGTCTGAGCTGCAGGCTCTCTGAGGTTCTCTCCAGATCCCTGTTCAATTGTTCAACGTGATGTGCGGGGTCGCACCCTCCCTCGCACTTCATTGACGATCGGTGCCCTGCCAGACTTCTTTAGCTCATGATGGATTAAGTCCTCCCAGATCTTCGTGCCACAGAAACCGTGGCCCCTGTCCTAAGGGAGAAACTCGGACCCCGCGCAGGGCAGAGCGGGAAGCGCGGCGATGCTCTGGGGGAAACAGCGGCTGGGGGGCCGGGGGCTGGGACGCATCCCATGTAGAGGCTGCAGTCAGGGAGGCTCCCCGTGACAGTGGCCACTTCCCGGCACTGCCGGCCCTCACGCCGCCACCTCTGCTCTCGTTCATCACTGGGTTTCAAGCCGAGCCACGCGGCGTGCTGTGGGGGTAATGGCAGAAGACGGAAACTCGATGTCTGGCATGACAGAGGCCTCCAGAACATGCTGAGGAGTGAAGTCTCACGGGGCAGCAGGAGGACTTACAGCAGGGCCGATGGGACACTCGGTTTTAAGGCAGCAGACGGCGAGTCGGTGTGTTGGCAGAGCCAGGGAAAGCCTTGTGGGGAGGCGAGCTTGGGACTGGGTCTTTTAAAAGCAGGGGCAGCCTACGAGGGGGTGGGCAGTCGCCTGCAGCCACAGGAGCACAGTCCAGACAGTAGGAAACAGTGAAGTGTGAAAGGAAACGTCCTGGGCGGAGCCACCCAGCGTGGGAGGCAGGCGAGCGTGGCCTTCCCGGGAGCTGCGGGCTCCTGGCTGAGTGAGCGTGGGCGGCGGCTGCTCCTGCCAGCCGGTCGGGTGCCTGAGTGTGTGAGTCTGTGCTCAGTGCTTCCAGCGGCTCTGGGACGGCACAGCACAACCTCCGTGCCTGGCCGCCTGCTGCTCATGGCCAGTGATCCGTTCGGCAAGGCTCCCCGAGCCACGAGCATCTGCAGGTCATCGGCTTCCCCGAAGGACTGACCTGTAGTGTTAACCTTCTGGAGTAAGACCCAGAGGAACTCGGGCTGCAGCGTCCGAACCAGTCACCTGCGTCTGCCTGAGTGAGGATCTGATTCCGCTGAGCTTCCAGTGTGGGGAGAGTCACGTGCAGACTCATGACTGGCGTGAAAACATATCTTGACTTCAGTGCTACTGATATGTAAAACCTCACACGTCAGTTCTGTTCTGGTTATGCACTGTCTCGGCAGTGCCCCGAGTCTGAAAAGACGGCTTCCCCGCCTCCCGGGGATCCCCAGGAAAAGGCTCTGCTCGTTGTCGAGGGGCCCCGGCTTCCAGTGCTGCCCAGTCTGGCTCATCTCGTGTAAGCGGGTTTTTTGTGCTGATATTTGCCACTTAATTTTGTAGTTGAGTTTGTTTTCTCCAAGGCCTGAGACTGCCCACGGGGGAGAAGCAGATTCTGGGAAGGCTTGCTCGCCCGTGGTTTCATGGGTGGATGGCCCATGCGTGGGTGGGCAGCCTGAGGACCCCGACCCCTGTTTCTGGGGCCGACTCCTGACCGGTGCGTCTCCCTTGTCTCAGGGTGGCCGTGGGTTCCTGTGCGGGCGTCTGACGGCCTTCCCGTGAGAGCAGAGGCCTGTCGGGAGGCCGGGCAGCACAGGACCGCCGACAAGGCCTCCTGGGGACTCTCCTACCCTTCGGGCTTCCTTTCAGACATGATGAGCTTTCTTTAAAATCCCTGGTCTTCCTCAGATGCTAATTTACTTTCTCAAACCATGTCATAAAGAAGTCATATTTAAAAAGTGATTTGCCCTCCTGGAGAGGGAAATGCCTGGCAAGATGACTGATATACTCAGGGCAGTGCCACGTTCACACCCTTAGGGCAGAGTTGGGGACAGCAAGTTCAATACTGACAGGTTCAGCATTAACAAGCTGGCCGCATTCCTGGGCCCTCTGTGGCCAGAAAAGCACTCACTGGCGCCCCCTGGAGGTGCGAGTGCGAGCTCCTCAAGGCTCTGGTCTGCTGAGACACGTTGTATCCGTTTGCACCCCCTCAGCTCTCTCTTCTGGTTGGAGGGAATGTAATGAACGAGTAGGTGGCTCGAATCTGGAAGTTACTGTTTCTGATCCGTGAGGGCAGGGGCATCATTTCTTAATCTGGGACAAGATGGTGGCTGTCTGGGATGATTGGTGTTGAGCTACTTCTTGTCATTTCCCTTTTCCAATCATGGTCTCTTTCTACCCTGTTTCCTTTGGACTCTGGACACCTTCTGGAAATCCATGGAACCTTTTTTTGTCCCCAATGTGGTCACCTGTCAGTTATCCGGAAGTGGGCATCACACATGACACTCCTCTCTTGCCCTCTCTAACCGACCTCCTGCCCCTTTCACACTGACTCTGTCTTTAGGTTTGATTTGTGCTGTAACTGTGGGATGTGATTCTCTCTAAGGAGACTGCCATCCTCTGTGGCATCAGAAAACTCCATATTTTTTTATTTCTGAGTTTTCTACCCAAATCACTGACCACCCAACGCTGGAGAAGGAGAAGGCCATCTGCTCATTGTCTCACTTGTATCTCAGCCCTACGATGGGGATACTCGGTGCACATAGACATGCCCTTGGGATGACCTCCCGCCTTTGACCTTCTTACTCCCCCCTGTCGCTTGTGAGCAGAGGAGTGGCATGTGGAACCTGGAGAGATTGGGAAGGATGGTGGGGATGTGTTTCGGAATGCATGAAATTCTGTTCATTTAGAGGGCAGGAATGAGTTCTCGTTCTCTATCTCTGTATCTCTGTCTCTGCTTCTCTGTCTCTCTGTCTCTCTCTCCCCTCCCCCCCAATTGGGTTACAAATGTGCATAGCTAGCACCTAAAGAGTGGAGTTGCTGCCCCCTAGCCCACAATTAGGCACTAATTACTTCCACTGGGGTAATGTCCCCAGGTGAGCTGCAGCCCCGTGCATGGCATTATTGGCTCTCCAATCAAGCTCTTTCTAGAGACAACGGAAAAGAGTTTTGTAGTATAGATGAGCCACTCCATGTTTTTCTGTAAATGTTCAAGATGTTACTGTACAATCAGCAGCCAAAGTGAATAAACACTTGCTTCTTTGTATACATAGCAGACAGTGCCCGAGCCAGCACTGTGACTCATGGAGCCCCTTTATGCTGTTCTGACTGGTAGTTAGTGCAGACAGCAGGCTGGTTCTGAGCACCTGCATGTACCGCACGGGCCACAGCTGCCTCCACCACACCTCCGATGAATCCCTTGCTACAGTCCCTTCCCTGTGACTCCCCTGAACATCCATTTCCAGCTTCCCAGTGCCCCAGTAGACAGGTGGTTTCCCTACAGCTTGCTCCCCTGCCCCAGCTCCTAAAAAGTGCAAAGCAAGCAACACCCAGAGCAGTTTAGCCAACTCAGTCCGAGGTCCTTTCCTTAACTAAGGGTCTGGGAAGCTGTCTACAGGGCATTTCTTCCTGGGCAAAGGATGGAGACTGATAGGAGGAAGCCAGGCGTCTTTGGCCGGGGTTTCCTGCCCACGTTGCATCAACTGGCACTTGCCTCTGCAGGCTAAATTAATGGCAGCTGTAACCCTTTATTGCTCTCCGTTCCTCGAGGCAACAAGAAATAAACGGCTTCTACTTGGGAAAAAACACGCATTTATTTGTCTTTGACTTGAGCCTTCAACATGTGATGGGAGCTTTGGCGATGACCAGCCTGGGCGTGGTGAGGACAGTTGGCCTAGGAGACTTGGAGCAAGGCAGGGGCGTGGACTCCTGCCCAGTGCTGAGGGGCAGTGGGGGAGGGCACAGAGGGAGGGCGGGGTGTTTGGGCCCCAGGAGCAGGGAATGGGATTTGCTGGGGGTTTATATGCCTCTCAGGCCTCAGGTTACTTTCTGTGTCTCTTACGGTGTTTCTTGAGTGCTTTTTAATGAGGTGATTTTAAGATAATTTTTTAAACCTGGCTAAACAAAACTGTAACATAAAACCCACATTAGCCAACTGGGAGCGCACAGGCCTGCAGGGGGATGTCCAATCACGTTGTTGCACTCAGACCCCCGAGCTTCCAACTGCCCCACCGTCCCTCCGGCCGGCCCTGGAAACCGCTGCCCCCCGTCCTGTGTCCGTGAGTTTGTTCCTCTAGCCACGACATGTCAGCAGGCTCCATGCCTCATGTGTGTGGAATCCTCCCGTATCTGTGTTCCCACACGACCTTCGACAGAGTAGCAGTGGGTGAGGGTGGTCTTGGTGAAACAGGATGATGAGGCCATGCCCAGAGACTCCTGTTCCTCTGACCTGTGCTCCTCTGAGGGAAGGGCTGTTTCCTGGACTTCACAGCATCCCTGCGCTCCCCGGGAGCCCGAGGTTCTCGGAGGTTAATAATTAACTCAGAGTGCCTGGTCTACTTAATTTTTATTGCAGTTTCACTTTCCAGCCAACACTGTCCCACTTGTAGAGGCACGGGTGACCCTCACCACACCCAGAAGTCGAGAAGGAGGTGGTTTTTTCCTACTGCTTTGGGAAGGAAGGAGGAAATGGAAGGAGGGGTGAGAACTGAGCCACCCCAACCGGAGGTCTCCGGTCTCAGCGTCAAGTCTGAGTCTGTGTTTCGACCTCCCTCCCACCCAAGGATCTGGTCTGCAGTAGTGTCCACCTTGACTTGACAGCAGAAGTCTGATGGTCTCTAGTATAGACATTTCTTTGTGACGGTTAATGTGGACTATAAATCGAGTCACTGGGTTCACTTTAAAGAGCCGTCTCTGTGGATGGGAGGAATTGCTGCAGGTAAAACTGCTGTAGAGGAGAAGGCACCTGGGTCCCCCCCGTGGCTTCCGGAGGCCGGCCTTCTAGGCCACCCAGACCCCTCCTTCGTCTCCGGCGCTTCGGCGTTGCAGTAGTTACCCTAGAGGGCAGAGAAACTGTTTCCAGATAATATCGTAGAAATCGGGAAATTAGGAGCTAATTTCAGGGCATCTCGAATTAACGAGAATGTTCTTTGTGGGGTGCTACCAGTGTAAACCTTCAACCAGTGGTGAGTGGGATAGAAACCCTTTCTCTGGAGAGCCCAGGAGAAGCCCTGCGAGCAACCGCATGCCGGTGCCGCTGTCTGGCCACTTGCGAGGCGGCTCCTTTCTCTTCCCTTTAGGTTTTATTGGTTAAACTTCCTCTAGGGCTTGGCTGGCATGAGTGACTTCTCTTGGGGAGTGGTAGGGTAGGAGTGGGGAGGAAGTGGGGTGCTAAGTGACATAACTAGGTCTGTGGGGGGACCACCACTTGGGCTGAGAGGGGTGTAAACCGGGGGTAACTGGTAGCAGGCCCAGGGCCCCCCTCCCTGGAGCCCTGCAGTGCAGCCCCGGCTCGGACTTCACATCTTTGATGGTGTTTTATTACCTAGACTTGCATCTCCTGCGTGGGCATGAGCCAGGGCTGTTCATGCGCGGGGCTTTCGGCAAGCAGTCGACTCCTTTGATCTCCCTCCACCTCCGAGTTTTACTCTTTGGCGGAGGCGGCGGGTGCAGAGGAGGAGGGGACGCCTGACGTGCTCTGGGCAGTGCGACCCAGCCCGCCCACTGGGCGTCTGAGGCATGTGTTGTTGCTGGTCCCTCTGCACAGGGTACTTTCTCAGCACCGTGTCCAGCCCCTGCCGGGGGCGGAGCCAGCATTTCTATTGGGGAGTGGTCACTATGGAGGCCAGTCTGTTTGGAGGGCTGACTTCATTTTCTATAAGATGGAGAAAATGCCGCTGTCCACCCTGAAGAAGGAGCAAGGCGTTGAAGATTTAATTAAGGTAGCCTGCACCCCAGCCCCAGGCCCCGAGTTGGCACCCCACTCTCTGTGTGCCCCAACGCCGCCTCCCTTGGGACGTGGTCCTTGTTCCCCCTCCCGGGTCCTCACTGCCTTCTTCCCCTAATGAAACGTTCGCTCTTCTCTAAATGGAGAACGTGGCCTCTGAAACCCAGCTCCCTGGGTTCGACTACTGGCCCTTCTGCCCACTGACTCTCTGATTTGGGGCAGGTCATTTAACCTCCCTGTACCTTATCCCTTCAGCTGGAGGACGGGAGCAATAATACACCCTGGCTCTTGGTGTCTCGGGCACCCAGGGAGTGAGAGCTCACACAGCGCCTGGGCCCAGCCCGCTGCTGGCGCTCAGCAACAGGCCGCTGCCCGTTCTTTCAGCCTGTTGTGGGCGTGAGAAAGGGCACCTCCTCCCCCTGGATGTCTTCCCCTTCCCCTGCCTCGGCCAGAGGACCTCGCTCAGCGTGCAAGGCGGCCCTACTCCTTTGTGGCTGCCACTGCTGACCGGTCGCAGCGTCCCCAGCTGCTGAGCTGTGCCACTCCCGTTCAGTTGTGCAAGAGTGCCCACCTGCTTGCCCCACTGGTCATCCAAAGTCCCCTCATGTGCACCTCCCTCAGAGCCTTCAGAACCTTCCCGCTACTCGGCAGCACCAGCTTCAGTGACGCCCTGACTGGATCTCGCCTGGACCGTTGCTCCAGTGATAGCGGCCCTCCCTCTCGCCCACCTCCCCCCAGATCATTGCGCTCCACCCTTCTGCCAGTTTCTAAGATGCAAACCTGATGGTCGGAAAGTAAATAAAAATAAAAAGTCCTTCAGATTCTCCCGTTGCCCCTGGTGAGATCCAAACCCCTTGGCGTGGCAAACGAGGCCGGCAGCCGGGCCCCCACCCGGCCCCACAAGGCCCTGTCTCGTCGCTGAGCCCAGCCTCCACTGGGCACGCTCCGCCGTCCTCCCCTCCGCAGCGACCCAGCCGTTTGCAGAGACGTGAGTTGGTCAGCAAACGACGGAGTTGATGAAGTATAAATAGTTCAAACACGTTCATTTTTTAAAGGTAAAACCTATCAAAGACCTCAGCCAAGATCACAGATGGTTCACAAAGCACAGATGATTTCACGCACAGAAAACTTTGAACTCCATTAATGATCAGAAAGTAAAACTCAAACAAAAGCACCATTCGCGTGCTGGGTTTCCACAGACTTTTAGAAGTCGCTGTACACCAGGGACCAGAGGGCTGAGGCACAGGAACACTCCCACCCCTCCAGAGCGCAGGGGCTTTGTGGGGTGCAAAGCATTCTGTGTCTGAGTCGCGGTGGCCGTCGCCTGCTGCAGAACTCTTGTCAAGAATTCGTTACTGTTCATCCTTGAGTTTGCTGCATCTTGCACGTCAACTCCATAAACGTGAATTTAAAAAATGAAAACATCTTGACCGGCACTGGGAGAACAGGACACTTGCATACAGTGGGAGGTAGGGGTGGGGTGATGGCATAAATTGGCTTCACCCTCCTGGAAGTCATTTTGCTCCTGCCTCTTAAGAAACCACGCTCTGACGTGATGTTTCTCCTCCTAAGGTACTATCCTGTGGAAGGAGTAATGAAGTCAAAGGTGCACATACAATATTTGTCACAGCATCGATACCAGCTGAAAACCAGAAGAAAAAAACCCAAAATATTCTGCAATAGGAGATGGTTACATTGTAATTCATTGGTGTGGGGGGCGTGGCCAACCCATGGCGAGCCTTTGTGTGAACTGGAAAAAGGCACCTCCTCTGGGTGGAACAGCCACTCCCAGGCTGGGGGGAGGGGGGGTCACCAGCTATATTTCAACCCCACCTCTCCCCTCACCTGGTGCCTTATATGCCACCTGCGGGTCAACCTGTACAGTGGTTGATGAGGCTGATACATGGATGCTTTGGGGGAACAATGGCATGAAGAAACGTTTGTCATGGAGAATTAAATGACAAAAAATGGTCTCATTTTACATATAATTCTAATTGTTCAAAAACATAAAATCAATAAAAGAAAACCTACCAAAATGTAACTAGCAGTCAACTTGATGGAATCATGGGTGACTTTCTCTCTTTTGTATCTGTTTTTCCTAAATTTTCCCGTGGTTGGTACTTTTTTCTAATTATGAAAACAGACATACATTCTTGCTCTCAAATGTCACAGGGCTCTGTCATCCCGGTACCTGCAACGGTGGCCTCTTGCGGCACAAGAGCAGGACATGGGGCTTCCGGGCTGGCGTCAAGGCAGAGCCGGATGGGAGTGCAGGGGGCGCGGGCTGCCCTGTGGGGCCCGGAGAGTCCTTCAGTGACTGGGAAGTGTGGCCGACTTTGTCCTCTCCTCTTCCCGCCCTGCAGGTTTGAGACGTTCGAGGTGAACAGCTTCGAGCAGTTTTGTATCAACTACGCGAATGAGAAGCTCCAGCAGCAGTTCAACTCGGTGGGCTGTGCGCCTGGACCTGGGGTTTCGGGGAGGGGGCACCTCTGTCTTCCTGAGCATGACTGCCCGAGCCACTTCTCTTCCGTCCAGGGTCAGCGGGCTCTGGCTCTGCCCTGACCTTCCGTGGGTTTCCTGGGGGCGCCCCAGCTTTAGGAAGGTGCTCCCCACTGCTCGAGAGGAGGCCTGAATGGGGCGGCTGGGCTCTGAGGGTGAAGGAGCCTCCTCTGGGCTTTGACTCCCGTCTTCCCGGGCCTGGGCTCCTGGGACACTGAAGCGGCTGCAGGCAGACATGAGGCTTCCTGTGGTGGGTTGGGGTGTGGCCTCCTGGGCAGTGGTCAGGGTGCCCTAGAGGAGGTTCATGGGAGTGAGGGTCACCCACTGAGCTTTTCTGCAGTCCTGACAGTGTGACTCAGGGCCCAAACCTGTCATCATAAGTGCATGTCAGCTTCCAGGGTTCAGAACTCACGTGGTCACTGCTTGGAGGGGGGAGATGAATGCTAAGGTGTGCGTCCCACTCGCTAACCTGGACCTTTCACTTTTTCTACCCTAGCACGTCTTCAAACTGGAGCAAGAAGAATACATGAAGGAGCAGATCCCGTGGACCCTGATTGATTTCTACGACAACCAGCCTTGCATCGACCTCATAGAAGCGAAGCTGGGCATCCTGGACCTGCTGGATGAGGAATGCAAGGTAAGAGCGATGATGCCGTCACCCAGTCAGGTCGGCTCTAGGCTTGGGGTGAGGCAGGGGACAGCTGTGTGGTGCCGGGCGACCCCGGAGACCTCGAAGCTGGAATTTCATCAGCGACAGGCCGGTGGCCTTCAGTGTGCCGAGAGAAGCCCCGCGTCTCCGGGAACAGGCTTCCCCTCCCGCAGTGCCTTTCGAGATTCCGTCTCTCCTCCAGCCCCACGCCCGCAACCTGAAGACAGCACCACGTGCTGCATGCTCTCCAGTGTGGCTCCCCTGGGCCCTGGGTGGAGTGGGGCTGCAGCTCTTCCCTCCCTTCCCCAGGGGCGAAGGTCAAGGTCTACAGGGTTATGAGGAGCACAGGAGGCAGGTGTTGCGCGTGGGTCACCGGCCAGCAGTGACCATGGAACGCTGTGGATGGCTCGACGATAAACACGCGAGAAAAAACATGCACAGAGACAAACTAGTTTCTGTGGAGAAGTAGGGACGAAATGGCCGCCCCTTCTAGTGAGGAGCGCGCCGATTTACAGTCCATACCTGCTTTTATTGGGCTCATTCTGCATAATAATTCAGGTAAAGTACAGTACTCATTAGGGGGGGAAGTAAGGAACCATAGAAAACAAAGAACTCTGCCGGTCTATTGAGTTGGGGGGTCAAAGAGCTGTAAGACTGAGGAACAAAATAACTTCCTCCTAAGACCCTTCTCATTCAACTGAGAGCATTCTAAACAAAGGAGGTTTCACAGTAATTTACATGTTCTTTCTTAGGCCTGATCACCCTGGGGAATCCGCACTTCTCAGTACCGAGCTGCACCACCCTGTCATTGTTTCAGGCTTAGGTGGAGCAAGGGAACTAAGGCAACTGGGAGACAAGGAAGTTTTCTCCCAGACGCTGAGAACTCAGGCTATGTCAGAGCCGAGGAGCGAGGGTCCATCACCCCCCTTTTGCTGCAGCCCCCCCCAAGTCCTTCTTTTGGGGGGCCTCCCAAAAGTGATCGTGCCTGTCTTAGGTCGTTCCCCCGTGGGGAATCTTACCCGTCTTTGGCTAACTGACCAAGCTTTTTGGGGTTCAGTTATGAATAAAGCAGCAGAAGCAGCATTCCTGACAGGAAGACAAGCTTTTGTCTCCTTGCTGGCTCACGGTTCCAAGGGCGTTCCCTTAGCTTTAGCCTAGGCAGGGGTTTCAGCTTCTGATACCAGTCAGGGTGGTTCCCAACAGGCAGGCAGTTCATCTTGCCTGGTCTGCCCAGCTCTGCAAGGAGGAGCTGACTGACCCTAACTCTCAGGAGTACGACCCCTGCTGTCCTGCGTGCACACCTCTCACAGAGACACCGAGGTTCTTCGGGCAGACTGAGCCTATGTGACTCACTGACTCTTGGTGACTCCGCCTGCCCTCAGGCCCCTGCCCAAGGGAACATGTCCCAGAACGTCTGGACAGAGCGGTGGGGGCAGTGGTCCTAACTCTCGGGCACAGAGACCTCAGACTGCCCCTCAGGGGGTGGGACGCAGCCACCGCGGGGAAGCCCGGAGCCTTGTGGGGCTGGGAGCCACGGGAGTGACGGGCGGCTCTCAGCACACCGCCGTCCCTGGTGCAAACCACACTCAGCAGTTACGAAAGTAGCCTCTGCCATCCCTAGACTCTGCAGCCTTGGTGTCCCCAGTGCAGGTGGGACCCCTAAACCCCCGTTCTCCGTCTTCCTGCTGTGTGCACGCTGCCATGCACCCCTGCCGGAATTTGTGTTACTTTCAAGGAGCCGAGGGAAAGGAAAACACGACTGAGTGGACCATCTCTGCCTTATGCCCCGTGGAGGCTTCTGTCTGGGTCAGATTTGTAGAATCAGGTGATTTCCATGTAAGACGGTATCCAGTCCAAACTCCTGCCACTTCAGTCCGTCAGACACCTGGAATGCATGCATTATGCACCTACTGGATGTCTGGCCTGGAGGGAAAATCCTCAGGAGAGGAGGAAGGGACCATCCTGCGGGCCAGCAGGGGAGGAGCCTGGCCTGAGCGAGTGGGGCGGGGCCAGGGGAGGGCTGCAGGCGGGACCCAGGGTCCCAGAACAGGCTGGAAGAGAGGAGGAGAGGGGTCCAGGAGGGTCATAGCCGGGCTGTGGTGGGAGGAGGAGGGAGACAGAGGGAAGGCAGGGGAGTGAGCAGGCGAGGACCCAGGGAAACAGGAGATGGGGGGACCCTGGTCTCTGGGAAGCCGGGGGTGGGTGGATAGGATGCAGCTACGAGGGGACGTGCTTCTCTCTGTGAGGAGAGTGGAAGGGGCAGCTGCTGTGGGTGCAGATGAGCTTCTAGATGCAGAGCAGGAACTCGCAGTTTCCTGCTTGACTCTGTCTCCCTCCCAGGGAGGACAGGAGGCATCTGCGCAGATGATGGGGAGGGGAGGGGTTAGGAGCTTGGGAAAGGAGGAGGAGGGCAGTGGCTGTGCTGGGAATGGGGAAGAGAAACAGCAGGGGGCACTGATTTGTGTGCTGGGGCCAAAGACCATAAACTGAGATTCTGGCATCATCCCAGCCGACTCCCAGCTGGGACCTAGGCTCAGTGTCTTAACCCATAGTATCGATTTTCACAGTGAGATTTGATTATTTCAGGGGGCAGTCACACTGGTAATCTAGTATTCCTTGATTAACAGCAGGGGAGTGGCCATGTGATCCTAGCCCGCCACCCGTGTGTAGAAAAGCCCAGGACGGGTACTGGGATCGGCTGGAGTTGTTCCGCTGAGCACAGAGAGGGCAGGGGTGTTCTGCGAAGGTGGGAGAGTGAAGGCCTGGCCCCGTCACTGGGGATGGCCGCCAGGTGGGGTGGAGGGGGACACGGCCACCTAGAGGGCTCTTAGGCCGGCCTCGTCCTGGGGGCCCAGTCACAAGTCCGAGATGGCAAGAGGGGCCCCGAGGGGCTGACGGTGGCTGGGTCACTGGCGCGAGGTCTGTGTGGGAGGAGGCACCAGGGCGCCCGCAGAGGTCCGGGATGGAGGGAGGTAGTGAGTGGGTTACCGGGAGGCAGTTGTTGGTGGCAGTGCCCCAGGAAGAGGGGAACGAGAAGCAGGGGTGGAAGACCAGCCATCTGCTGCTGGCTGTTGTGCAGAGGACAGGTCCCGCTGCAGGGGGTGTCCCGGCCGGCGAGGGAAGCCTGTCCGCGAGGGTGCGGTCCCTGCCCAGGGCCGCACACGGCACCTGGCGAACCCCGTCCTGGGGCCCAGGCTTCTGGGGAGGAGGCGCTCAGTGAGCCTAAGGGCTCTCTTTTCCCCTCTATTTCTTTCTGTTGTATTTCAGCAGCAAAGAGCCGAATCAGGTTTAATGTATTTTCACAGCGCTACTGAGATGTAGTTAACATACAGTTCAGCCATTTAAAATAACCACGTCAATGGGTTTGCGTATACTCAGGGTGGTGTCACCATCAGCACGACAGTCATTTTTAGAACACTCCGTCCCCCAGGAGAAACCCACTAGCAGTCACTCCGATTTCCCCACAGCCCTGGGCAGCCAATAATCCGCTTCTGTCTGTGCTGATTTGCTTGTTCTGGACATTTCACGCCGATGGGACCTTCACTTTTTAATGGGGCTATTGGCAGACCCCAGGGACTGGGCCCCTGAGGGACAGTCCCTGTCTACCTTAGGGCAGAGCTGGGACCGCGGCTCCTGACCCAGTGTCCTCTGCCCCATGTGACTTTAAGAGGAGATAAAGACGCTTGTGTGAAGCCACTTGCACATTTCTCCTAGGCTTTTAAAAACTATTATTCTTTAAACAATTGCTAAGACTGGACTCAAATAGAAGGCACAACAGTCTTGCTATTTGGATTGTGTGAGGGTGTGGAGGGTGGTTTGCAAATACAAATTAAAGATGAAAAAAACTCTACTTCCAAAAACCCCCTAACAATTCAAGAAAAGTGTTATCGGTTGCATTCTAAGCATTTAAAACCTGTCTCCCAATTTAAATTTCCACGGTAAGAAAACGGTCGGTCGGACATTCCTTTTGAAGGATTCGATTCGCTGCCTGTCCCAGAGCTGCAGATAGCCACCGTCTAGATTTTATCAGAATACAAGATTGGCTTTCCTTCTCCGAGGCCCGTTTTAAATCTGCCTCTGCAGAAAGATTTTTGGAGATTAGTGCCTTCCACCTCTCCCTTCAGCCCTCGTGGCTAAAACCCTGCCGCCCGACAGGAGAGCACAATGGCAAAGGGAGCATGCCCAGAGCTGGCCAGGCCCGGCTTGAACCCCACTCCGTATCCTTGGGCAAGGTTCCCCCCCACTCCCTGGCTCAGTCTCCCTGTCTGTACGACGCGTGTGAACCCAGGGCCTGGCTCACAGGGCTCCTGTGGGGATGCAATGAGTTGCTCCGTCTAAAATAGAGGGACATTGCCTGGCCAATAATAAGCGCCGGGGGCATTTGCTGTTGGTGTTACCTGACCGTCTTGACGGTGAGTCCCTGCTGGCTCTGGTTTTGAGCTGAGGGTGGGGAGTGGGAAGAGAGACGGGGGTTCCCTCAGCAGAGAGAGTGTGTCCGCACAACCTTGCTCATTGACTCCTGCCTGCCTGAATCAGTGCGTGCGTAGGACCATGGAGTCTTCTGACCAGAAGCGCGATCTCATTGTGAAGACAAACCGGTTTCAGTTCCAGCAAATACACGCGTTGCCTCAGGTGGGGCTTCTCGTCACCGCGCTGCCCTCCCGGCTCTGTGTCCCCCGGCCCGGCCAGGCCTGCGTCCCGTGTGCCGGCCCTCCGTCCTTGTCTCCCGTCAGCCGTGCCGTGCCTGGTGCTGCCTCCCCCACACCTGGCGTTTCTACATGCAGGGTGCTTGGAGAGAAGTCTAAAATAGTGTATGTGAAAACTGCTGAATGGGATGTATTTTATTTTGTCTGCCTAACACAATAATAGCCTCCTTCAAGAAAAAGTTTTCTCCTCTTGAATATCCTACGGAGCTTAGCCCTGGCTAGTCGATACTAGTTATACCACATTGAATATTGAGAAAAATCTGCTTGCTTAACAAAGTATTTGAGAAATTTGTTCTCGACTAGGTAAGCATTTCCCTTACGGCACAGATTTTAAGAGTTTACTGGGCAAAGCTCTTTTTAAACGGCTAGTGCAGGGGTCACCTTCAACCCTGCCCCATCCAAGCGTTCCGTCTGAACGAACGGGGGGGCGGCTGGTCAGTAGGTGCCCCATACCCGCGGGCTGGGTGTGCGCCGCAGTGTTCAGGGATGACGGGGGTGGGGCACCTTCTCGTGGGAGGAGTTTCCATCATCCAGGACAGTTTTAGGTGGTTACAGTGACTCCGTTACATCTCAACGAAACAAGATGCTTTTTCACTTTCAAAGCCATCTCTAAAAATATTGCAAGGGGCAGAATTCTTAATGCAGTGGAGCCTCTGAAGCTAAATTTAAATTGGAGGAGGCGGGGATTAGTACTATGTAGCCCAATCACTGGGTATTTAGCACCCAGTGAGCAGCTGGAACCCAGTTTAAGTTCTCTGGGGGGCAGGAAACAAACAGGAAGGCCTCGTCCTTGAACCCGGCAAGCTCACAGCTTGTGGTGCCGAGACTGTCCACAAAAACCAACGATGAGCACCATTAGGGGGCGTGTGTGGGAGAGCTCATTGGGAGGGAGGCCGCAGCCAGGTCACGAGTGGTCAGGAATGGCTTCAGAGCAAAGGCCAGGCTGTGAGCCGGCTGGATGGCGGCGTTGAAATGAACTCGAAGAGGGAGGCAAGTCTTTCCCGCCGCTGGACTTGGCCTGAGTGAGCAGGAGTGCACACTGGCAAGGGTCGAGGCGTGTTCTTGACACTGAGGTTCCTGGTCTGACCCTGGGGAGGGGGGTGCAGAAACCCCTTCAGGTGTGTCCCATGAGTTGTGACTCTGCTCCTGGGACCGTGGCCTCCACTTTCACTCTCCTCTGACCCTTCCAGCGTCTTCCTTTCCAGCGGAGCATGCTCCTGCGGGCACCAGGGGGGCCAGCCCCGACGGCGTGTTGAGAACGTACTGTGGCAGGACCCTACGTGTCCATGGTTGAATCTCGTTTTTCACGTCCACGCAGGGTCATGGGGTCAACTTACTAGCAGACTCCACGCCCCTGCTTCACCTCTTGGTCCCCTTTCTCCTCGTCACAAAGCACCTGGTTCTGCGGTTCCACAGGTCCCGAAAGGAACGGACCAGAACTGGGCTCAGAAGCTGTACGACCGGCATTCGGGCAGCCAGCACTTCCAGAAACCCCGCATGTCCAACACGGCCTTCATCGTGGTGCACTTTGCCGACAAGGTGAGTCTCCCCCTGTGGCTCCGAGGGAGCGGCTGCAGCCTGGAGTCTCTTAGGTGGGGGCCCCCTCACCCCCTCCCTTCCCTCCCCAGCACCATGTCTGTGCTGTACCAGCTGGTGACTACACAGCAGAACCCAAGTGGGCGGCCGTAGTTACCCAGCCGTATGCTCACCAGATACTTGGTGAGGGTCTCCTTCCAGGGAATGTAGCAGCTGTGACGGACTCGTGAGTCCACCCTGGGGCTCGAGAGAGAGAGAAGCGGAGAGTGAACCACAGGGTGCTCATCTCTGGAGGGGAGCGGTTTCTCTCCCCGGAGCTGCTGGCTACTTAGACTGTTTCTACGTAGATTTCTGTTCTGCACGCACTAACCCACTGCTTCTCAAGCTTCCTGTGCCCTCACGTCACCTGCGAGTTCGTTAAAACGCAGGGTCTGGCTCAGTGGGGCTGGAGCGTGGCCCATGAGCTGCATTTCTGTCCCCCAAAGCAAGCCTTCTAGTGAAGGAAACTCCCTCTGAAAACTGTGTTTTTCCACCAAGCAAATATCCAGTTCCCTCTGTGTAAATCCCAAACATGTCTTGGGTTTGCATTTTATTTTTTTAGATGTTTATTGGTTTTAGAGAGAGAAAGAGAGAGAAACATCGATTTGTTGTTCCACTGATTTATGCCTTCGTTGGTTGATTCTTGTATTATGTGCCCTGACTGGGGATGGAACCCACAGCCTCGGTGTGTCAGGACGATGCTCTAACCAACTGAGCCACCCGGGCAGGGTTGGGTTTGCATTCTTACTGGGAGACTTGGTGGAGTTCCCTCTGCAGCGCTCCCGTGTGGATGGGTGGAACTCGTGGGGGACGCTGGCCAGGCCGAAGTGCTCACCACTCCTCCTGTTTCCCGTGGCGGCCCAGGTGGAGTATCTCTCAGATGGCTTCCTGGAGAAAAACAGAGACACCGTGTACGAGGAGCAGATCAACATCCTGAAGGCCAGCAAGGTACCGTGCAGGAGAAACGGGGACGAGGGCCCAAGGGCCTGAGTGCCCACAGCCAGAGCCCTCCATGCCAGCGCGGTTCTCCCCGCCCACTGGATTTTGTCGGCAGAACCTCCCTGTATGCAAACATCACACGGGGGAGAAGGCAGGGCTTAAGGGGCACTCAGATCTACAATACTGTGTTACTCTGCAGTATCTCCAGAATTTCTGTTCTTCCCGTGACTGTAACAAAAAGGTAGCAAATGTTGTATCCACTCACAGGCTGAGGAAACAGGGTGCCATTTATGTAAACAGATATTTCTTAAGCACCTGCCGAGTGGGGCAGGGCCCTGAAACCACCCTGTGTCGTACAAAGATGAGTGAGGCGGGCTCTTCCCTCCGGTGGCTGACACGCCGGGGCGTCGTGAGCGGGCAGGTAAACACTCGCACAGTAACTGTGGAAAGAGAGGAGGCGTGCGAGGTAGTCCCACCCCCAGGGGGAGGTGGGCGCCGTTGCCCTGCAGGCCGAGGCCCCAAGGCAGGTGCTATTCTGGCTTGAGCACTTGGGGCCGGGCGGGGATGGGGGGGACCAGGAAGAGGACTTCCCAGGATTTAGGAGGCTTCCTCTCAGACCTCACGATACCGAACCCACTGCAGGGGCTGATAACACCAGAAGCGGCAGATTAATTTCTCTCCGTGATAAGCCCTGGATGAATGCAATAGGGTGAGATACTGGAACAGAGAAAACACACCCAAGAATGTACCCAAGAACAGAGACACACGCAAACCCCATTAAACCGTGTGGCCCCACGGCAAGGGGTTCAGGGAGGGTTTGCATCGATGTCAGGGTGTGGGCGGTCCAGGATGACCCCTGCCCTGCATCGTCTCTGGGTATCCGGAAGATCTGGGAATTAGTTGTCACGAAGACAAATTTGCTTTGGGGAAATGAGAATATCATGTTGGAGTTCAACACAAGATGAACCTCTCAACCTGCCTAGCTCTCTGATCCCTGGTGGTCATTATGGCTGACTGCATTCTCTACGAGGCTGGGGGGTGCAGGGAGGGGGCAGGGAGAAGGAGAGGTGCTACACGCCACAGGGAGAGCGTGGAAGTAGGTGGTTTGAGTGCTGGCGGTACTGTTCCTCACCATGTGTGTCTTAGAAGCTGAGAGGCCCGTGTCCTTCTGTCGGCCTGACAGTGGCCTCAGAGGGCCAACAAACTTCGCCGGCTTGTCACAGGTTTCTCCTTTCAGGCTGGGGCACAGGTGAGCGCCAGGGAGAGTTGGGTACTTTCCGTTAAGTGTGGAGTTCGGTTCTGCCCTTGTATCCGTTTTTGTCTTGAGTGTGTCTCAGGGATCCCAGGGTTGAAAAAGGGACCTGACAGATCATCTTCTACTAGTAACTGAGGCTCCCCCCCACCCCCCGCCACCTTCTTTTTAATTCTGTCAGTACTGGAGCGGTATGTGGTGATGCAAGTACAGATAGTCAACCTCGTGGAACTTGTGGTCTAGTGAAGAAGACGTACAGTGTGATCACTGATTTTGGGAATGCCGTAAGGCCAAGAAGAAGTTGTTAGGGAAAAGAACCCCGGGGGCTTCTTGGGAGTCCCCGGTTCGGTCGTTTGCTAGGAGGACGCGCAGATCTCAGCACACAGTCGCACTCGTGGTCTTGATTTGTTCCGGTGAGAAGACGCGAAGCAGCCAGCCGAGGGGAACCGCGCACGGTGCAGGCCAGGGGAGACCGGCTGGGTTTCCGGGGGTCCTCTCCCGGCGCCGTCACGCAGACGGTGCCTGCCTCCCACGGCGGCAGGTTGTCACTGTGCGTGTGGATGTGGAACGTCCACCGGGCAGCCCCCCGAACGCAGGCGCTCAGGGTGTTTACGGGGACTCGGTTTTGTAGGCTCCCTCTGCCGAGCACGCGCCGACATTCCGGACTCCCTGAGCAGAGCAGGGGTTCGGTGTAACCCATGTCGTCTGCGTCGACAGTGTGGGCGCCACGAGCCAGGGCTCGGCGATGGGTGAAAATCCTCCTGGAATCCACGCTCCCAGGCACCCCCCACGTCAGCCTCGTCGGCAGGCCTTTCTGAGGGGGTCTCAGGCCTGCTCTGCCCACTCTTTCCTCTACAGGGGTGTCATCTTAGCTTGAGGGTACTGGATTTTTCCTAGAAATGAAATAAAGGCTCATAAAAATGAAAAATAGTATAGAAATACGTAAACTGAAAAGCATTCTGCTCCTGGACTCCCTTTTCGTGCACTCCCACCCTGCGTGCACAAGCATGTTGGTGCGCCCTTTGAAGAGTGGACTCCGCGGCACCACCCACGGCCCTCCCCGATTCCCCACTTGCCGTTCCTCTCGGCCATCTCTCCACGTGAGTGCACACCCCTCAACTCTGTTGTTCAAACAGCTGCCGGTGTGCAAATTCACAGGATGCGGCAGCAAATGCCCTCCTTCGTGGATGTTTCTGCTTCCTTGTACAGCGACGTCTGTCGGGTAAATGTTTGGAAGTGGAACTGACGGTTCAGAGAGCATGCGCCTCCCAAGTTTACAGACATTGCTAACTCGGAGTGAAAAGTAGCCGGCTCCTTCCTCTCCCCTGCCTGCCGGCCACAGCTCTGGCTCTCCCCTGCGCCGGCTCGTGTTTCTGAGAGCCACTGACCCCTCGGAGCTGCGGTCACGGTGGCCAGCAGCACTCAGAGAACGACCCAGGGGAGCTTCTAGGCCCGCTACACCCCCGAGGGGGAGGGGGCTAACGCGCCCCCTGAGCCATCCATCCCAGCCCATTGCAGATGCCCCGGAGGACAGAAAGCAAAGACGGACAGACACTAGGTCACTGTCACCTGAGCACCGGCCTCTGCACAGACCGCGGCTGCCACGCAGAGAGTGATGGGAGGTGTGTTTTTAATCACTTGGACAGATGGACGTGTCTGGCAGCGTCTGTCATTGTAGCACTTTTAAAATCTCGTTGATTACTGAGCCTCTGTTCTCTTTAAAAAAGTTCCTGTTCTCACCGTAGTCCTGTGAGGTTTGTGTCTCTCACGCCACGTTAGAGAGAATAAAGACCTAGAACAATATAAGACTCTGTAGCATGGAATTAATGCCCAGTTTTTTAAACTGGTTTTCAACTCACTAAGCAGAGGTAAATCACAAATCCTGTATGTACATTCAAAGTCTTACAGTATTTTTATTTTATGGAAGACCTAGTGGCTTTTTTCTTCTGTGTGGCACTCCCGATAAGAAATTAGCAGATCACTGTGCACAGTTAAGCAGCAGGAGCGGAGGACTCCCGTGTACCCTCCCAGCCGCAGCGATGTTGGAAGCACTCCCACCAAGAGCAGTGAAATAAAACAGTGCTAATGGGAGTGTAATTAGTAAGCCCAGCTACCCTGCCTAAGAGGTTATGATGTAGCTCATTGCTTTCCCAGCCATCAGAGAGCTATAAATAGAGACTTAAGAAGTGCCTCTTTCAAACGTGACTTGTTACTAACAGACTGATTTGTTTTAGACAGGATAGCATGGAGGTTTTCCCCTCCCACTTTTCATTTATTATAAAAAGCAACATTTTATCAGTCTGAAAAATACATCTCGAGAGGAGACTGTTTTTCTTCTGAAGATTTACAGTTCCAGGACGGCCCGGAGTGTGGTCCGAGGGACGAGCCGAGGGCCAGGTGTGTGCCCCCCAGCGCCAGGTAACAAGGGCCGTCCTGGGCGGTGGTCCTGGGCGGTGGTCCTGGGCACGCCAGCCCGACGCCCGCTCGCTGCTCCATTGCCACAGAAGGGGTCTCGGGACCAACGTGGTCCAGAGGCCAGGTAAACCATACTGGCCGCCGCAGTCCCTGCGGGGCCCCAGAATCGCAGCGGTGTGGCGTGGACGAGGCCCACGTGTGCCCTCTCCCCTCTCCCCTCTCCCCCCCTGTGGCTTCAGCCGGACTCCAGCCCACCCGGGAGTGATAGTGCATGTGGGCCTGGTGCTCTCTGTGCTGGGGCACTTCTCACAGGTGACACACACATCCCATTTTGAGCAAATGCATTTGCTTTTTAAAAAAATGTATGTTTCTCATTATTTTGTTTTTTATTTATTTTTGTATAGCAACTTTATTAGATATAATTGACATACTGTAAAACACTTGTTTTTAACAGCATTTGATTTAATTGCATCCTGTTTAAAATCAGCGTGTGCCGGGCATTGGAAAGCTGCCACCAATATTTAGAATGAACAGGTCACTAGTGGTGCAGAGAACACTTCTTCGCACATGAAACAATGCCACCCCCTTTCCAGTGCAGGAAAGTGAAATGCCAAGACTTTTTCTCCGAAGTCCATTTAAAACCCTTTTAAGCAAAAATATTGCTTTCTGAAAAGTTGTAGATTTCCCCCCCAAAGGGGTTACAGTAACCATGTAAAAGAATTGATCAAAAGAAAGTTTATTTTGTATTATGCTTACCAAGTTTTTAAAGGTAAAATCCTGGCCCTGGCTTGTGGCGCAGCTGATTGGAGCGTTGTCCTGTGCACCACAAATGTGCGGTTTCAACTCCCCATCAGGGCACGTACCTAGGTTTCGGGTTCGATCCCAGGTTGGGGTGCGTATGGGAGGGATGTTTCTCTCCTCCCCTACCCCCCATCCTCTTCCTCTCTAAAACCAATGCACATATCCTTGGGTGAGGAATTTAAAAAAAAAGATATGATTCTAGGCGAGATCCCAGTCAAATGATTATTATCGTGTCTTATTTCAGTTTCATGTGTCTGTTTTAAAGAGAATATGTTTTATGTTCTTACAAACAAGTGAATAGGCGTGACTTCCAAGGTAATAGCTATGTATATAGCTGTAATTGACAATTTTCTTAAACTGTCAAATGGTCTTTAGAAAGTGTTTTCAAACTTTTAATCCGTTTCAAATAGATTTTCTCAGGCTTTTACAATCTCTCTCTAAACTCGAACAGCAGAGAACACCAAAGCCGAACCTGCAGACCCCCAGTGAGTGGCACACCGGGTCAGGAAGTGCTGGGCCTGTTTGCAGGTGCCGTCTGAGTGTTTCCAAGTGAAGGGAGATTTTTAAAAAGGCCCGGTGCTGTTTCTTATGGCCTAAGATGAATTATAATACTTCCACTATGGATCAGCTTACAAACAGACTTCACAATAGCTCTCTAAAAGCCTAAGTGTCGTTAGTCAATTAAATGAAAAACAACTTTTCTCCCTCGCTTGGGAGTGCATTCTTTTTTGCAAGAATCCTTACTCACGCAAGAGCTTGGTAACTACTCTTCATTGAGACTGGGAGTTTATTTACAGGTGGGACCCACAGGTGCCTGTCTGGCCCAGCCCCTTATCCAGGTGGGTGCACAGAGGGGTGTGGGCAGCAATTGCTGTTTCTTGCCTGGTCTTTTGCTGTTGCCTACAGCCCAAGGTCGGACATGCTCTTTCAGTCTTGTGGGCAGACTACACGTCTTTGTGTGACCATTGAGCTGACACAACAAATTCTGAGTAGAATGTGATCCTACGCCTCCTGCCCAGTGTTCACGTCCCAGCAGACTCCTCTCTCTCTCCATCCCAGAGGTCCCACCCCTTCCAAGTGCGTGTCAGTAGCAGGAACCTGCAACGAAACATTGCCTTTAAACTAAAATACAAATCCTCCAGAAGAGCACACTGCCAGCATAGGTTAAAATGTGCCCTGAGAAGTTTTCATTGCCTGCTCTTGAGTTGTAAATCCCTGTGTGGGAGAGAGAGAGATGGACAGATAAATAGGTAGACAGGTGCCACAGCTTCTCTGAAGCTAAAGAAAAAGGGGCTTAAATTTTAAATACTTTTCTTGTCGAATCTGACTTCAAAGTTTGTCATAGGGCTTTGATACATGCTTCTGACCTTAGAACTTAACAGATTTCTCACAGGAAAAAAAGGCCACTATTAGTGATCTCTGGAAATTGGACCTCTCACACAGTGTAATCGTAGAGCTGGTAACGTCTCCCCGTGACTCAGACTCCTGGAAATCCCTTTCGGAAAGGACGTGACTGGGAATACTTGAACCCGTGCTGTGTTTGGACACGACGGGCTGCATCCCAGGGGAGTCTTGAGAAAGAGAACCCATCTGCAGCTCGGCATTGCTTGCCCGTGGAATTTTCTGGGCACCAGTTGACTGGGCATGTGACCTTTTCTCACAGGTGCCGTGGCCATCCAGGGCCAGGCCACGGAGCCCCCTGGGGCCTGACCTCCCTCTCCCCGCCCTTCTCATGTTCTTCTGTTTCTGCCCCTCCCGTGATCTCAGCTCACCTGTGCGGCGGTGGCTTTCCGATAGTGAGGACCAGTGAGCTTTTGCATAAGCATTCCTGGACACGGTTTGCATGGAGAGAAAACTCTGGCTGTTGGGTGGAACACCTTTGGATGGAGGTGCAGCCGGAGGTGGGCACTCGGGCTTTAGGCGACTGCATGTACCGATCCAGGAGGGAGCTTCGGGAGACCTGAACTAGGGCAGCACTGTTCTGGCTGGTTGAGAAAGGGCTGCTGAAATTTAACCAGGGGCAGGACTTGGTAGTTGATCTGGATACAAAGTGCGGAGATGGCGGGACCTCTAACTTAAAGTTGGGAAGACAGCAGGTGAGCAGGTTCGGGCCGTGTTGCACTTGGAGTCTGCAGTGGGACACCCAGCGTGCAGCAGATACTGATTAGAGAGTGGGGCCTGTGAACCCCGGAAAGGGAAGACCACCAAGACGAGAGGCGGGCTTGAGGGGGGGGTGGGGGTAGTTGAAGCCATGGGCACCAAAGAGACCAGGGAATGAGGGGGTTAGAGAGAGAAGATCCGTGGTGGGGATGCGGTTATGGGAGGCAGCAACGTGGAGGAGAGACAAGCAGGAAGGCAGACCAGTGAGTGGTGCTGGAAAAGGTCAGTGAAGGAAGTGGGGGGGGCGAGCTGAAGGAAGGGGAGACGCTGAGCGGCGGGAAGCAGGTCTTCAGAGAGGAGACAGGGTCAGGGGTGCAGAGGCCTTCAGAGGGGGGGCCACGCAGAATGAAACTACGCCACCTCCGACCACGAGATTTGGCCAGTAGGGCCCCCTGCAGTCGCTCTCAGGGCCGGTTCCTGCAGTGTGGGGCGTAGGCAGGGGATGTTGGATGGAGGCAGGTCTGAGAAGGGGCAGCATGAAAGGTGGTGGACACTTTGCCCAAGGTCGCCTGGGATAAGGTGGGAGGGAGGAGCAGCGGCTGAGCAGGAAGGTTTTTTTTAAAGCATAAAAGTCACCTGAGCACAATTATGTGTTGAGGGGAAGGAGCCAGTGAACGTGGAGTGATTACAGGTGGGAGAAAATTCGGGTGTTCAGGGAGTGATTTAAAGGAGCCATCTGATTCCATTCCCTCCCCTATGCAGAGAATGAAAATCTTGTTAAGAGGTTGGCCATGGGTCATGCAGCTAATTAAGTCGCAGAATCACATTTAAAAGTCAGGTCTCCTGACCCTTGCTCTGTGCCCTTTCCACTATTGCACCTTTCCTTCCAGAAATCGACTCGGTTATAATCTCTGCCAGTCTCCTCACTCCTCCGGGCACCCGTCACAGTGCTGGTCGTGCAGGGCACTTCGGCCTCTGCCTGTGCCACAGCCGGAGCAGTCTTCTCCGAACGGTCGCCGGCCCCTGCCTCTCTCGTGTCACACCTGCTGGAGCCCCGCACCTGCATGCACATCCTGGCTTGGCCACTCAGCACGTCCATGACCTGGGGCCCCAAGCCTCGGTTCACCGTCTGTAAAATGGGATGTAGTCGTGTCTGTACCATGGGGTTATCGGGACGATTGGATGAGTTCACATATGCCTGGCACATTCTAAGTGCTCGGTAAATGTTAGCATCTGTTATTTAAAGAAAAAAAAAGGCCTTCACATTGTTCTTAAGATGAAGACCAAAATCCCCACCTGCGTGACGGGAGGGCCATCTTATTCAGTCTCATGCCAATTCCGGGTAACAGGTGCATTCTGACCTCCATCACACGGATGGCTAAATAAAAGCTCGGGGAAGCAAAATACCTTTACAAGTCCCAACCACAGGAAGTGTGGAGGCCGTTAGTAAAGTGCAGTCCTATCAGAGTGCAGCCAACTGCTACCGCCACAAAGGAAGGGATTTTTGCTTGTCTTTGAAGGTTGAAAAAGATCATTTGGGAAAGTTACCTTTTTTTAAAAGAATTCTTGACATAGAATTCTTGACCAAAATTTACCCTTTGAAAGTGTACAATTCAGTAGTTTTTAGCATATTCACCATGTTCATAGTTCTCCAACTATGAACGCTCTAAGTTCTAGAATGTTCTTGTTACTCCAAAACAAAACTCCATACTCATGATCAGGGACTCTGCTTTCTCCCTCCCCCAGCAACCATGAAACCACTTTCTGTTCCCTGGGTGGTTCCGGTACATGAATCTCACATTGTGACTTTTTATGACTGGTTCTTCCACGCGGCACGTTTACGAGGTTCGTCCACGGGGCGGCATGCGTCAGAACGTCACTCCTGTACGTTGCTGAATAACAGCGGTCCGCCGTGCGGACACACCACAGCCGGTGTTCCCGTTTCCCAGCCAACGGGCATTTGCGTTGTTCCCGTTTTGTGGCTGCTACAAACATCGGCCTACAAGTTTTGGCACGTGTTTTTACTCCTCTTGGGTAGATGTTGGAAAGCTGCTTTGAAAGAACTTCAGCAAAGCTCAAGTTTAAGCCCAAGAGCTCTTGTGTTCAGTGTTCCTCCTCTGTTTGTTTCCAGTTCCCCCTGGTGGCCGACTTGTTTCACGATGACAAGGACTCCGTTCCTGCCTCCTCGGCGTCTGCAAAGGGCTCGTCCGCGAAGATCCACGTCCGCTCCGCCAGACCCCAGCTGAAAGCCGCCAACAAGGAGCACAAGAAAACCGTGGGCCACCAGGTCAGCCCCGGGGCTCGCGGCAGGAAGCCTGGGCCATGGTGTGCGTGCGGCGCCGGCCTCTGTAGGGGGAGGACGGCCACGGAGCCAGAGGGAGGCCCGGGTGGCCTCGACCCCCCAGCTCCGTCCTCCTCCGCTGTTTGAAGAAGGAAACTGCGAAACCTTCTCTGGAGGGAACGGCCAGGAGAGGGGAAGGGGGTGACCGCAGTCTCAGGGCACTTGACCCCCGTGCTGGGGCGCACGTCACGGCACCACAGGTGCCTGGTGTGGGGCGGGGGCGAGAGGGTCTAGAAGCGGACAGGGCATGGAGGAGGATCTGAATAAGCCTGCAGACTCAGAACACTGAGAAACCGCCTCCCCCGCGGTGGGGGCTCCGGGTGTGTTAAGTCTCCGTGAGAAGAGACGGGAGTGCCTGCCGAGTCCCGGCAGCCCTGACCTTGTCTTGTCCCTGGGTTTGCCCGCTCTGGACGTCCATCTAGATGCCGTGGTCTCCAGGACGCCCGGGCAGGAGTGCAGGCTCAGGGCTCGGGTTTAGGGGTGGGAGGCCCCCGGGCACAGGGGTCCCCTCTCGTAGCACTTGCTCCCCTTTCTCTCCTTTGCTCCACCACACTGAGTTAGACCCACCACGGGTGGTCTCTCCCCATTTGGTCTTAGGAGCCCTGAGGCCGGGATACAGGAGGGACTTGATTGTAGTCATCCAGCAAGGTAGGGTGTCAGAGCTAGAACCCGTCCCCAGGTCTCTGAATTTCTTCCTGTCCTGTATTAACAGTAATAATCAAAACAATTATAGTAACAACTACTGCCACCAGCCTGTGGGCATTCCTTTAGGTTTATCCTGCATCCACAGAATATTGAAGATGAATAAATAACCAGGCGTGACTTTTGCCCCCCCAGTTCCGCACCTCCCTGCACCTGCTCATGGAGACCCTGAATGCCACCACGCCACACTATGTCCGCTGTATCAAACCCAACGACGAGAAGCTCCCCTTCCAGTAAGTGCGTGCACAGGTGTCGGCCCGGTCCACATGGCTGGAGTCGGGCTGGCCCAGCCCATCGAGTGCAGCCTCTCGGGGCTCCCTCGGGGGCTCAGGGGGACCAGGGAACGGGCAGGCCCGGCCTCACAGCGGTCTGCAGTCTTCAGCGGGGGGCATGGCTGGTTTGACACGCCCCAGACCGTTTCTATGCTGAACACAGGCCCACGGACGTTCACCAAGGCCACCCCTCTGCTGCCCGGGAGGATTCAAGGGGAAGAGAACATGCAGTCCCCCATCCCGTGTCCCTTACAGTGGTGTCGAGGGCAGTGCACACAGAGAACCACGTAAATATGTGACACTGAATGCCGACGGGTATGTCTCACAGTGGATGTTCAGTCCAGACACGGGAGGCTCAGGCTTGCTGGGGTGACCGGGGAGGCTGCTAGTGCTGAAGCAACTTGGCCTCCAGTGCAGGGTCCAGTGAGGGCGCATGCCGGCGCTCCCGTTCCCCCGTCCCCTCTGCAGCTGAGTCTCTGGAGTCACCCCCCGCCCTCGCCCACCGTCCCTCACTCCTCAGCCCACTCCGATCCAGTTTTGCCTCCAGCCCTGCCTTGAACGTCCCCTTCCAAGTCTGCCTGTTCTTACCTGGTGGATTCCACCCAGATCTATGGAGCCGTAATACTTACATGTTTTCACCTATCTCTGGTTTCCGCCAAGTTCCAGACCTTGATGCTGCCACTTCTTTTGCCACCTCCCATTCCCCCTGTCCAAAACCAGACTCGTCCCTTCCCCGCCAGGCTTCCCCGTATCTGGTCTCTGTGGGAGTAAAGGGCATAACCGTCTCCTGACATCTCACCTGCCCACCGGCGGTCTTCCAAACTGGACACCTGAGAGTCACTCTGGACCACTGCCCTCCACTAGGGCCTTCTGTGATGACAGAACCGTCCTGCCGTCTACGTTGTCCAACATGGCAGCCACTGGTCACAGGTGGCTATTGACTGCTTGGACCGCGGCTCGTGGGAGTGAGAACCTGAATTCTGAATTTCACTTCAGTTACACTCAGACACGCATAGGTGGCTCGTGGCTGCCATATTGGACAGCATAAGCCTTGATTCTTCCTCCTCCCTTCCTCCCCAGGGGCCAGTCATTGCCAAAACCCCATGGAGGCAAAGGTCCCTCACATTGGTCCCCCTTTTGCCTACCTTCCATCATCACCTGGCTTTAGACCATCTTCATTCTTGCGTGGAAAGCTGCTCGAAGCCTTTGGCATGGCCTCACCTCTGCAGCCTCTGCTTCCAATCCCCCGAGCCTCTGCAATGCTATTTCCTCTGTCCAGAAAGAGATGTACTTAAACATTTTTAAAGTACTTTCTTCCCAGCTTTCTGATTTCCTTTTTGGCCCTAGCATAATCACTTTCTGTGAAATAATTCAGTTCGGCAGCTCGGACTCTCAGAATGAATGACCGAACTAACAGCCTCGGCCATTCCCCTCCTTTGGTAAAGCCCGGCCTGCACTCGCACGGGCCGGTGCCGGGAAAGGTTAGGGAGACAACACTGAACCAGCCTTCCGTGAAGCGTGCCGATGGTTCACTCTTTCCCTTGCTCCGAATTTCTGCAAGGCGCTCGGGAACTCCCCCCACCCCTGGGGGCATCTGTTCACCAGCTGACTGCGGTGGAAAAGCCGTGGTTAGAAGAGCAGCATGTGTGAAAGGCGTCGATTATGTGTGAAGGGCAAGAGCGGGAGGGAAAAGAGGAGGGCTGGCTATCAGCTCGGGCCCAGCCAGCTGTGACCTTGGGCAGTTTATTCACAGGACCTGGCGCCAGCCTGCCCTGTGCTTTTTACCTGGTTGGGCCTCCCCTTGCAAATGAGAGAAGACGCTGAGGACCTTGAAAGGGACTTTCTAGTCCTAATATCCCATTTTTCTAAGACCTTCCTTTGCCTTTAGGGCCAAAAGTCTTCCTCCCGGTAAAGAGAGAGGGGAGAAAACGGAACCAACTCAGGAAACCTGAGTTCTGGTCCAAGCTCTGCCACCAGTTGTTCGGCTAATCGCAAGCCTAATCCTTTACGCCTTCTCATTCCTCCACCTGTTAACTGTGGTTAAACAATAATTATGAATGGGCCCAAGAAGATAATTCATGGCATTAAAATATAGAACATAGTCAACATTATTCTGGAAGGAAAGTGCCGGGTCCCTCCCCGCATTCCATACAACCGGGCTTTCTCAGCCCCGGCACGATGGACATTTGGGGCTAGGTGTCCTTTGTTGTGGGGCCGTCCCATGCACAGCAGGGAGCTCAGCACCCTGGCCCCTGGCCCCCACGCGCTGGTGACCTCCCCACCATGGAGACAGCTGATGGTGTTTCAGAACATTGCCACGTGTTGCTTAGAGGACGAAACGGTCCCCAGTGGAGAACTGCTGTCCCACACTAAATACTGTGATAGCATCTCTTGTATACAGGTCTTTTACCCTCTGCTGCTTGCTTTTTTTTTTTAAGAGAGAGGGAAGGGAGGGAGAAAGAGAGAGATAGAGAAACATCAATATGCGGTTGCTGAGAGCCGTGGCCTGCAACCCAGGCATGTGCCCTGACTGGGAATCGAACCTGCGATGCTTTTGTTCGCAGCCCGCACTCAATCCACTGAGCTATGCCAGCCAGGCTGCTGCTTGCTTTATTTAAAAAAAAAAAAAGCTATCATATCTAATACTCATTGGGCACTGGGCTAGGGCAGGCGGAATGACAGTGAGTAAGATGTGTCCCTTATTCTTAAGGAGTTGCCAGTCACAAATAACTGGCATGACATAGAAGTGACCGTCTTTGGGACTCTAACGGTGCAGGATCGAGAGGGGAGAGCATGAATGGGTGTCCAGTGGGGAGGCGGCAATCTGGGATGGCTCTTCAGAGGAGCTGGCCAGGTCTCCCGGAGGCCAGTCCCCTGATCTCAGAAACCAGCGGTCCTGAGAGTCTCGGGGTCTGAAGTGTGACCACACAGGATGCCATGAGCCTGGCGAGGTGGGTGGGGAGCTTGCAGCCTGTGCAAAAATGAGTTAAGTGGCGTATGGCTGCTGAGGTGGAGCCCAGCCTAACACCATGGGAGCCTCGCCCTGCACCCCACAAGCTTCTGGCTCTGCTCAACCTGCACCTTTTATCGGAAGGGTGAAGTGTAACCCTGCGTTTCAACAGTTTGACCCTGTGTACATCCTAGGTGGTTCTCCAGCCCAGGTGTAGGTGTTGCTTGAACACACCGTGGCCTTCCAGAACTTAACAGGAGGAAGGGCTGGTTTTCACTCCCAGTTACCTAGTGAGGAAGGCAGACTGCGAGGTGCACTTGACAGTGAGTTTGCCACTGGGGAGATGAGAGTCAAGTGCAGAAGCCTGGCTGTCTTCACGGGCCCTCTGGGGGTGCGCGAGCAGGGAAAGAGGATGACAGTGTCTTCTTCGTGTGGTGTCTGCTTTTTCCTAATAGCGTTCGTGTCCTTTACGTCCCTCAATCATTACGGCAACCAGCAAATCAGAGTTGGGCCACTCGTCTCCTAGTGACTAGACGAGGAGCCTGAGTTACAGAGGGAGTGTGTCTTGCCCCAGGTGGCACTAGCAGAGCTGAGGCCAGTTGCTCCTTCACCCTCACTCATTTCCCTCACCCAGGGGAAGCAAGTGATGTTGAGGTCGTCAGGAAGCAGGGAAGAATGTGCAAACCGAGCTCAGAGATCCTTGGCTGCTGCCTTCCACGGGACCAGCTCAGTGTGCAGGGCTCTGGAGGAGGCTGAGCAGGCCATACAGAGGTGGGGGGACGAGAGAGAGTCTCCAGTGGAGAGAGGTGGCTCAAGGGTGGTGGGCCCCAGGCCGGGCCTTCCTGCAGAGTTCCAGAATCCTGAGTGGGCCCAGCTGCTGGGACAAGAACACCTGGGGTTGTCAGGGAGCACGGGAGACAGGTGTGATGGGAGGTTGCCCACTGGGGTTCTACAGGCAAAGAAGCCTCCTCCCGCATTTTTCCAACAGAGCCGGAGGCGGCCTGACCATGGCCAACGCGTGTGCGGAAGCCAGTGTGACCCACGGTACCCGTGGCTGAGTCTAGGGGGCCTGGCCCGTGGCTTGGGCTGAGCTGCGGACCAGCCAGGAGCCAAGGGAGCATTTATGTCTCCTCCCTTCTCAGGTTAGGCCAACAGCCTTAGCAAACTATAAATCGTGGTTAATTCTCATTCAGCTTAACTCTCCTCAAAGACTCCCTGATTACCTCAGCCAGCCTCAGCACCCTTCCTCTGGTTTCTCGTAGCAGTTGAACCACACTTGCCGCGTGCTGCCCTGTGGGGTGCACTTTCTGCACCCCCTCCTCCTCCACAGGTGCGGATACGCTGAGGACGCCTGGCCGTGTCTGGCTTGACTCTGTTTTCCTAAATAGCTGTGCTTGAACGAACACTGGGTTTCCAGCGCTAGGCTTAGCATTGCAAGGCATGTGAGCTGTGGAAGACATTTCTTTTGTCTCCAGAGACTGGAAGGTGAAGTCCTTTACCGGCGTGGCTCTGAACTGAGAGCAGCTGTCACGGCCGTAACTGACAATACGTGTGGCCTTCCTCATGTGGTGCCAGGCGCTGTTCTGACTGCGTTCTTGGGCCGTTACATTCCATCCTCACACTGACCTTGTGAAAGGAGTACTGTTACTACCTCAGTTTTATAGATAAGGAAACTGAGGCCCAAACCTCATGTCACCTGCCCCAAATTACACGGGCAGCTGGTAAGGGGTCATGTCATTCAGGCCCAGAAATTCCTGAAACTCACCCTTTTAACTCCTGAGCCATGAGTTTATATGTTTTTGGCCATTGAATGAACACAGGTGCCCATGGGGATGGGAATCATAAAGGAAGGTTTTGGAGAAGAGCCAGCATGAATCTTGGAGGGTGGAGAGAACTCAAGTAGGCACAGAAGAGGGGTGTCCCAGCAGAGACCGAGAATGTGCACAGACCTGAGAGGCCGATCAGGGTCTTTTCTCTTCACCCACCCTGTGCCCTGCGCTCCCTGGTGCAGGATGACCGGTAACTCCGGGCGAGAGGAGGTGGTCTGCCTTCTCTCCTGTTCTGGCCCCTCTTTACAGGGTGGCCCCTCATTGCTTCTCTGGTTGTCTTGCAGCTTTGACCCGAAGAGAGCGGTGCAGCAGCTCCGAGCGTGTGGGGTGTTGGAGACCATCCGGATCAGTGCGGCCGGCTACCCGTCCAGGTATGTGCCCACCGGTGATGCCCCTGGTGCAGCCCAGGGGGCCCTCTGGGGGGCTGTCAGCTGGAAGGAGATCCTCAAAGTGTTCCCAAACGTGGGGGGCCCAACAGGACGCTGACGGAGATAAGTATCTCAGTCTGGTCTGGGCGTCCCCTGGGGCAGCTTTTCTGATTTCAGATCTGCCTTGGCCTGGGGGATAAGCTAGGCAGAGTTGCAAAGAGGATTTCTCCTCTTCTCCACTCCCACCTCGTCCCTTTTACCTCCCCGACCCTTTTCTTACTCATGGTAAAAAAAGCACGTAACACTTACCACCTTAACCATCTTAAGCGAAGAGTTCAGTGGCATCAGCACATTCATGTTGTCACACAGCCATCGCCACCATCCATTTGCAGAACCCTCATCCTCTTGCACAACCGAACCCCCATGCCCACGAAACAGTAACTCCCCATTCCTCCCCCCGCCCCCGAGCTCTGAGGACCGCCGTGACACTTTCTATCCATGTGATTTGGATGATTCCGACTGTCTCACTTGAGTGGGATCACACAGTATTTGTCTTCTTGCAGCTGGCTTAATTTCACTCAGCATAATGCCCTCAAGGTTCACCCAGTTGTAGCATGTGTCGGAATGTCCCTTTTTAAGGCTGAGTAATAGTCCATCATGGGCACACACCACACTTTATCTGTCAGTGGACTCCTGTGCCTTTTAGTACAGACTCTCGTCTATGGTTTTGTCTGCACTAAAGCACCGCTGTTGTGATACACCTTGCACTGTGGATAAGCCAGCCAGCTGCCAGCGTCTGTTGAAGTTCTGCCAAGACGGTGGATGCCCCCTGGACACTGGCCTGGAATAGGGGTGGGGGCAGGGGGGCCACCAGCTAGCTCTCGTGAAGTCACACTGTGTGCCAGTGTCACAGAGGCTGAACATCTGCTGAGAACTGGAGCTGAGCCATGCTGCAGGCCAGAGCCTGTGGTGTTTCCTGTGCCCCCAGAAGCCCGTAAGTGTCGGGGGGTGGAGAGAGTCAGAAACAGGAGGAGGGGATGCGGTCTGCCCCCTCTTCCCTGCCATCTCCACCTGGCGCTTTCCCACCTTGCTCCGCTCCACACTCACGGAACCATTTCATAAGCAGTGGTTAATTACCCAGAAACACCCTCCCCCTCATGAAGGTGAGGCCTGGGCAGGAAGCTGCTGATGGACTTAGGAATTTGCATTTGACCTGGAAAGCCCAGCGCTGTCACTAATGCGCATATCCAGGCAGCTTTTCAAACCTCAGCAGGTTCGGGCATTGTTGGGAGCGATGTGCTCTAGCCAGGGTGGAAGACTATTGTTACTTTCTCTTCAACCACATCCCTCCCTGCTGGGAAAAAAACCAGGCAGTGAACTTGGGGTCTGAACACAAGCCACTGACAGCCACCTGTCCCTGGATGAAGGCCCCGCCCCTTCCCTGGCTGCCCTGCGGTGTTGGGCCTCAGCCTTTGATTGAGAGAATGGGGCTGAGGCCACGGGCGCAGCCGTTCACCTGCAGGTTCCAAGTGCTGCCGCCAGCCAGTTAGGTCACCTGTCCTGGCCCGCTCTGCACCGCGCTCATGCTCAGCTCAGGCGGCGTTCTCCAGCCCAGAGCCAGAGACGGGCCTCAGGGAGCCACCGCACCCCTGCTGTGCAGCTCTGCGAGGCAGGCACCGGCGCACCCCTGCTCCTGGGTCTCCTGCTTGTCTGGTCTCCCAACAAGGTTTCTTCAGTCCTGGGTTTCTCAGAGCCTCTTCACAACCCACTCTCGGGTCAGGAGATCAACGGAATGGGTTGTGACTGACATCTTGTTTTTTTAATGATGTAACTTGGGATGAAAACATAAGGTGGCAATTTGTGGCAGAAGGGACGCCGTGACACGGCCTGCGTTGGTGTTACATAGGGGTGTGGGCATGTCATGGTTTAAATGTGCTTTCACGGCCGAGACCCAGGGAAGGAAGGGACCACTCGGGGCCACCAGCTGGTGGGCGGTGGAGTTGGGGCTGGCACCGCCCTGCCTCCGCCCTGCCAGGCGGCTGGTGCCAAGCACCTTACTGGCCACACCAGCGAGGAGCTGGTGTCCAGGCAGAGGCTGGTCGGAGGAGTGAGGTGCAGGGCAGCGTCCCAGTCTGCCCCCCAGGGCTGGGCCCAGCCCTGAGGCCTGGTGTAAAACTTCTTCCTGCTCAATCTGAACTGCAAAAAAAGACAAAAAAAAAAAAATCAGTCCAGACTCTCGGACTGTGGCCCAGGCCCCAGCTGAACGACACTGGTGACTCAACCCTGGGGCTCTGGCGCCGGGCCTGGATTCCAGTGTCAGCCTCATACCTTCAGGCTGGGCGACCCCGGGGAGCACGCGAGTCTCTCTGAGCCTGGGTTCCCTGATCATTACATGCAAGGATCACATTCCCAGGTGGTTGTGATGAGTAAGGCAATGCATTTACGGTTCTCAGCACAGTGTTTAAGCATTGAATAAAGTGTTCATTACTCATCAGAAATGAGCGGGGAGCCACGTCCCTGTGGGTATAATTACATGGGTAGAATGTGCCTATACCAGAAACGTCTAGTTTTTCCACACGTCAAATCCTGGTGTGTCTTAAACTGTTGAGGGTCCTCAGTAAGAAACTGCGGGATCGCAGGTCCTCCCAGCCACGCCTGCGCCGCACAGCGCAGGGGCCAGGGGGTGAGCCGAGAAACGCAGCTCGTCTTTGCACAGAACTTACATGGGGTGCTGATGGGGGGCTTACCCCGTGAGAGGCGTGGACATCAGCATTATATCAAGCCACGGGAGAAGCAGCAGGGGGGGCACGTGACCACTGCTGTTCGAAGGCAGGGGGCACCTTGGGGACCTGTGTCAGCGCATAAAGAATCCACCTGTTTCACCGGCACTTGGATGGACGAGTCGTCCAGGATCAGGACCAGTGACTGGCAGAGGGTGTGGAGATCTGTTCTCGGAGGCCGTCGGGGAAAGGCCAGCTGTCCTGGGTGGTGTGGTTGACGACAGACCGCGCTGCAGGCAGAGGCCAGCTCTGAGTCATCGAGCTTACTCACAGCCTCACTGTGAAATCAGAGTGACAGTGTGTCGTCCAGGCTCCTGCTGGTTTTTCTGTCGCGGTACAGAATGATCCATTTTGGTGGTGGGAGAGGGAGGGGGAGAGGGTTTTAGCTCTGTGGTCTCACGTGAGCTTTATGGAGAATGAGAAGATTTTCTTGCCATCGTGGTGTCTGTCTGTCCTACTCCCTGTCTCATCCCTTATCCAACATTAGCCTGACCTGGTGGCTGTGAGGGATTAAGGACCAAAGTCACAGCCCCGCCCACCAGGAGCTCACTGTCTGGGAGGAGCGATACAGGCCCAAGCCACTTAGAAAACAACATACAATCAGGTCCAAGTTTGGGAGGAGCTGTGGCTTCGTGAGGAGGTGAGATTGGAGCTGGGCCTTGAAGGGCAAGGAGGATTTGGATGGGTGGGGAGACAGCAGGAGGCTACTGCTGGCCAGGGGGCAGCACACCGTCCAGGATGGAAGGAACGATAATGTGCTTTTCCCGGCTAGTGATTCGGGAAGAGTCCTCCTCTGCCAGCTCAGGCTCCGGCCCTGCTGTCCCGTCCTCCATCCGTAGCATCCTGAGAGGCCAGGTGTGCTTTTTGCCTCATCAGACAACCTCTTCCTTGGCAGCAAAGAGGATGCATTGCCTCCAGGTCTTTGGACCCATGGAGATAATGGCCCCGCCGACTGTTCATCCCGTCTGGCTCCAGCCGCAGTTGCCAGCAAGGTTGTGATGCCCACAGACTTGCTGGCCTTGTGTAGGGATGCTGATGGATGTCTTTTCCTGCCTCCCTAATCGTTTCCAACTTCCCTCCAGCAGATAGTTCCAAGGGCAGCTGTACCTTTTCTTTTGGTGATTGCAGGCACCGTGGGATGTGCAGGGAAGGGAGGGAAGACTGTCCTTCTGACAGCACAGAAAATGGTAGTGAACGCTGTGGTCTCAGGGTGCCCGCTTGGATCCAGAACACTGTCTTGCATCTCCTCACCTTCATGTACTCAGCAGAGTTTGGGAAGAGGTCCAAGAGAGGATTTCCTTCCCAAACTGCCACTTGAAATGTTAACTTTTGGAAAGAGGCACTGTGGTGGCAGTTTTGTTCATTCTGAGACGGAGTTGAATCCTCCCTACTATTACATTTACATTGTAGTCCCCTTCACCCCCTCCTCACAGCCAGGCCGCCGCCCCTCGAGTTGCATCTGGTTTTGAACGTGAGTGGGGAGGGGACCGCTGTGGGCAGCCACCACGCCTGTAGTGGCCTGATTCCATGCATTGCCTAACTTTCTGTGCCTGTCCACCATGGGAGCCACGCTGGTTTTTGGAGTGACCGCGTGGTTTGGGTTTTTTTTTTGTTTTGTGTTTTGTTTGTTATGTTACCTGACTGCTCCATCTGGGAAATTGGTGTGTGCCTGCTGTGTCTGGAGATGAAGCCAGTGAGGTTTTATAGAAAGTGTGTCCATCCAGGTGTTAGCTATTGAGGGCAGTACCTGTCGTGCGTGCTGACCTGGGCGTACAGAGCTGAGCATGGCGTTGATCTGACTTTGAGAGAACTTCTTGGGACCGGAGTGGCTTGAATAGATCAGGATCATCACGAAAAGAATCCGTCTCCATGGCGGCCGAGACCCAGCGCAGCGGAGGGATTGCACTGGCGTGAGCCGGACACGTAACTACCCAGGCGCTGGTCCCAAAGGAAACCCAAGTGGCTTCTTCGATTGAGGGAATTATAACCTGCACCCTTTTTCTACGTTTCTCCTACTTCAGTGGCCAGAGGGCAAATGTCACTTCACAGAGAGGAAACGCGTGGCCGTGGACCACACGTGGTGATTCATCGCCCGTGGTGAAACGGGGCACAGGGCTCCTGCCCAGGAGCCCGGGCAGAGGGCGGCCCCTTCCCGTGGGGGTTTCCGGCCGCGCTCCTGCGCTCAGCCGACTGACGTGGGAGCCCAGAACTCTTAGCCTGGCTCTGTAGCTGACGTCTGCTCAGTGCTGCCCGGAGCCCAGCAGGCCTGCCCCACCCCCCACCCCCAGCTCGGCTGCTCCCACCCCCGCCCCGGCTGTCAGCACACCTGTCTATTTTTATCCTCCCTGGGAAATACGGCTCTCTGGGAGTCTGGTTTAAAATGAGAGTGAATCATTCAACTTGAAATGTGCAGCAGCGGCTAAGAAATATGTTCATTATCATATACATAAAGCACTGTGATAAATGCCCTGTCCGGGAAGACACGTGGTCTGCCAGTTACCAGCTCCCCCGCTCCCCCCCACCCCCCCTCCCCGCCCCCACTGCTGTGTGTCCTGTGCCTGTAGAGTCACCTGCCTCCTCCCAGGGGCTAGGGCCGCTTTGTGTCCCGGAGGAACTGGGAAGCAAAGACCACTTATGCAAAAACAGCGTTTGTGTGGGACTGCTTGAATATGCATTGTTTCTGTGCTTTTAAAAAGTGCCTTTTCCTAAATCTTCACTTCTCCTTCACTTCATTTATCTCATCTCGTTCGCATGAGAAAAACTCAACAGTGCTTTCTGAAAGGAGTTCCACTCCTCTCCCTGCCCCCGGCCCCGTGTGCAGTACACAGCATAGCACTGTGGGGCTGGGTGGAGGCTGAGGAATTGCCATATTGACTTTCCTGTTGAATCATGATTAACACACACGGCCCCTAGCCTTGTTATTAAAAATCCCACAGTGAAAGGACCATTTTAAACTTACTTTGGCGTGCAGTAATCCTTTTTACTTACTTATTTATTTATTTTGGGGAGAGAGAAGGAGGGAGAGAGAGAAGCATCAATTTGTTGTTCCACTTATTTATGTGTTGATTCTTGTGTGTGCCGTGACCGAGGATTGAACCCAACCCACAAACGTGGCGTATCTGGACAACGCTCTAACACCTGGGCTGCCCGGCCGGGGCTGGAGTGCAATGATCCTTTACCTCAGGGTCTTACAGCCTTCCGTTCCGGCTCCTTTGCCTGGGAGCTGTGCTCACCTCCTCAGACTTGAGTCTGGCACAGGGTTCTCACCTGGGCTGCACAGCACGGTCACCTGGGAGGGATTAGGTGGGTTTGGGTTACTCCAATGATCAGAGGGGGAAAGTCAAAATCCAAATCTACTGTGGGGAGAAGAATAGTTCCTTCTAAACGACACCCAAGTGTGTGAACAGTGTTATCTCTAGCGGTTAGAATGGGGCCTCTTTTAATTTACCGACGTATACTTTCCTGCATTAAAAAAGTGTTCCATGAGCTGTATTAGTTTATAAGAAGCAGTTTTATGAGAAGAAACCCAACCTTTGGAGACCCAGCTGCATTCCGGGCAGGTGTCCCACTGGCAGCAGCGCCCTGGGGCTGCCCGTGCTGGGGCACACAGACACCCCGCGAGCAGGTCTGCCCCTGGCCAGCCCCTCAGAGGGGCCTCCAGCCACGATTCTGGAACTCCCCCAAACACTGAAACTCTCGGGGGTCGTCAAGGGAGGACGACATGCCCCAGGATGTTTTAGCTGCTTTGAGAAGGGCATTTTGGGAGAAATATCGATCCCCATGGGACACTCTCAGACCACCTGTGGCCCCGGAGGCAGGACACGTCACCTGATACACCTGTGTTCCCTCCAGGTGGGCCTACCATGATTTCTTCAACCGGTACCGGGTGCTGATCAAGAAGAGAGAGCTGGCCAGTGCAGACAAAAAGGAGGTCTGCAGGTCCGTCCTGGAGAGCCTCATCAAGGTGAGCAGGCCCCGCCCCCGGCCCCGGGCTCCAGGAAAGGCTTACCTGGACAGCAGTGAGGGCTGCAAGAGGGTGGGTTATGGGGTGTTAACTGCCTTTTGGGGTCTTCATCCTTCTCATTGCAACTGTCTCTGAGCTGCTGCCCCCATTTCCATACATCGGTGACGGTAACAGAAAAGCCCCGTCACCTGCCCAAAGCACATGCCAGGTCTTGTCCCCACTGCACCACACAGAGGAAGGGACATTATTCACGCAGCCCGCTGGTGTTCGTGGTTGGGCCAGTCCTGCCTGGACGGTGCTGGCCCTGATTTCTGGATTCTGCAGAGCTCAGGTGCCATCTGCCATCACCTGGCACCTGTGCCGTGCCCGGGGCTCTGTCCTGGGGCCTGGCACCAGCAGAGGGGAAAACAGCCGTGCTTCTCATGCCCTCCTCCTCGCATGGCCGGCCTGCCGCGGGCCCGGTGCCAGGTGCTGTCTCCCATTAGACAACAGCTTCCACTTCGGTGGAGACAACCCGAACTCTCGCCAGACACCTGAGACTGGAGAACTGTAATAGCAGAACTGTTGGGGGCCTTTTATGATAAACACTTCATTATTTCCAGAGGGTTTAGTGATTATAGCAGACTGTGTTACTTAATGGTCTCGATAAAGAGTTAAATATATCACAGCATCTTCCCTTTAAGAAGGCAATAGAACTACATCAAAAGTAATTTTTTTTTTGCTAGGAAAATCTGTTCAGCTGGAGTAGCGCATTGCCAGCCTAGGACTTAAGGTCCACTGTTGTCCTGTAGGAGTAGCATGGTTACTCCCCGAGCGTTGTCTTAGCTGCTCAGGTCTGCAGTGGAGACGGTGCGGAGTCCCGTGCTGACCAGTCAGGGCAGAGCCAGAGGGTGGCAGTCTCATTAATTGAAGGTTGCAGTTGGTTATTTGGACTTTGGTTAATTGAGGGTTTCACCACAGTGCATCTAACCGTGTTTGCATTTCAACATCTCATTTTTCATGGGTGAGAGGAATCTGTGTTCAAGGTCAGCTGATTCTGATTGACATGGAGCATCAGGAGTCTTTCCCCTTGTGCGTATCAGGATCTGCCTGTTAGTGTGGTGTTTTTTGGTTTTTGTTTTTCTCCCAGAGTAGGAAATGGAGTGTGTGTACTATGGTTCCCGAAATGCAACAGCCTCCCTCCCCCTCCCCCTCACTCCCAGCCCTGGCTCTGCCAAAGCCCGAGCACCCAGGCCTGGCCCTCCACTGTGAGGGCTGAACTCCCTTCCCGTGCCCCCCACCCCTTCCTCAACAGAGGCAGCCTCCCCAGCAGGGCAGGGAGAGGAGGCAGTGCAGGGCGAGGACCAGGCCCCCATCCTGTCCTCCCTGCAGCCTGGCCGTGGAGGAGACAGCCAGCGACGGTCTAGCCGGATGCTGTGTCCCAGCTCAGCACAGCTGAGGCAGTGCCCTCTTCTCTGGGTGTGGAGCCGGGCTCCTGTTAGCTGTGCAGGGCTCAGGGCGCGAAGAGTGGTGATTCTGCATGACTTTGCAGCCACGCGTCAGTCGGGGGCGTTCTTGTGTGTTTTCTGGAGACCATGGCCCATTGCTTACGACCGTCTCACCCATGAGCAAAACCAGATGGAGGTGTGCTCACGAAGGGCACGCAGTCGTTGTGGGCTAACTCTCAAGTGTTCAGCTTAGGCTTGTCCACAAGCGCACAGCTGGGTCATTGGCCCTTGCCCACCTGGACAAGTGCAGGGAAGGGCAACTAGTTCTAACGTAAATAGATGTAACTAAGACGGTAATTATATGTTCCCCCAAAATCTCATACCGTAGTCTGAAGCCAAACAAAACTGACTTGGGGAGTTATTTGTGGTCTGAAATTATTCAGTCAACTGTGCAGCCATTTGAGGATAGTCTTTTTAAGATGTCGACCAGATCAGCCATTCCCTTGCTCAGAGTCCCCGGCGGCCCCCCTCCAGTTTTTGGCCTGTGATGACTAGTTCCTCTTATTCCCCGCTCAGCCATCCCAGCTCTCCTGTTCCTCAAACACGCACAGCTTGTTGCCACCACAGGACATTTGCGTCTGCTCTGCTCTGCTTATGAACTCTCCTCCCCTGGACTCTCTCCGGGCTGCCGCCTTCGGTTCACTGGGGCCTTGGCTCGGGTCTCGCCTGCCCAGAGACGGCTTAGATCGTCCTATGGAAACAGCCCCATCCCACCCTTCAGCCCTCGCCTGAAAACAGATTGTGTCTTTGCTGAAACAAAACAAAACATACTTTGTCTTTGTCTGTGCTCACCGTGTCAGCTGCTGGAGGAGCAGGCATCTCGTTCATGGCCAAATCCTGGGCACTGAGCCCAGGGCCTGTGCCACACGTGCAGGTGGACTCAGTGGCGGGCACAGGGATGCTGAGAGCTACTGTGCATCTAAGGCATAGGGGCCTGTGAGCTCTGACTGACGGGGAATTCCGCACTGGAGGGATTGGCGGGGTGGGCCTGTCACCTCACTGTTCTCTGACGGTGACCAGCTGTCCTCCCTGCCTTGTAAAGGACCCTGACAAGTTCCAGTTTGGCCGAACCAAGATCTTCTTCCGGGCAGGCCAGGTGGCCTACCTGGAGAAGCTCCGGGCCGACAAGTTCCGGGCAGCCACCATCATGATCCAGAAAACCGTGCGGGGCTGGCTGCAGAGGGTGAAATACCGCAGGCTGAGGGGGGCCGCCTTAACTCTGCAGAGGTACTGCCGAGGACACCTGGCCCGCAGGTGAGCCGAGCGGGGGCACGTCTGGGCAGCAGGGTGGGGGTGGGGGGCAGGGCTCTCTCAGCGGCTGGCTGCTCTGAGCCTCTGTCCTCGGAGTGGTTCCCATGGGGCCCTGTCTGCCTCCTGACTTCGACCCAGCAGCTGGGTCGTCTCTCTCGTGCCCCTCTCACCTGAGGGAGCAGGTGTCCTGGTCCCCCCAGGCTGTTCCCATCACAGGAGTGCCACCCTCACACTGGCTGGTTTTGCCACAGAATCACCACTTTCCTTTTACTTAACCCCAAAGTAAAATGATCTTCTTTTATAAAAAGTGATACATTCAGCATTTCCATCATCATGAACTTGTACCCCACTTCATGATTTACAAGATTCATTTCAAAATCCTTTGGGAGTTTAAGACTAGGGCTGGAGAGGTCCCGGAGGCCCCTGTTTGAGCTGCTGCACTGAGTCCACACAGAGAGGGTGTGACTTGTCCCATCGCAAGCGGCCACCTAGGGGCCAAGCCCAGGTGCCAGTCAGGCCGTCTGCCCAGCTTAACACCAAACCGAAGAAACCTCTCAATTTTAGCTGTTGCTCTACCGACTGAGGTCATCGGCTGGATGACATGCAAAAGCGATTAGGCATCCCCCCCACCCCCGATACAGGCTCGGAGGACGCGGCCTCCTGTAAGACCCGGCCCTGGCTCACAATCAGCGACCTCTGCCAGTAGGGATGTCCTTGGGGACGTGACAGTGATTGCCGTAAGGTCTTGCATTCGGAAGCCAATGCAGTCCAGTCACCTCTGCCTGAACGTGGAAAAATAAGCGAGCCCCAGAGTTACGATGCCAGAGCAGGAACCCTTCATGCTACAAATGTGGAAGCCCGCTCCTGCCCACCTCCCGTCCTGGCCGTGAGCTGTTTGTTTGCTCAAGCCCACCCAGAGATGGTGAGCGCCTGTAGTTACTTCTGAACAGTTGAGAGAGGACCTCCGGAACAAAAGCTGTAGAAATGGGAACCAACACTAAGTAATCATCAGCAACCTGTGCCAACCAAGTCGTCACCGACTGTCCTGTGCTTGGGACTCTGCCTGGGGCCCAGCGGTGAGGATACAAAGCAGAGTTGGCCTGCGCTCTCTGCGTGAGAGTTTGTGTTCTAGTGGATACGCAGGGCCCGTCTGTGGAGAGAAGCCAGGGGGAACTGGAAATCAGACTCATTTCGGCAGGCCTCCGGGGCTGGGGGTTACCTTCTCCTCTGGGACTGCACTAGATGAGTTCTAAGTCCTTGTAGCTTTTAATATTCTGAGTCCGCAATTGAATGCCTGCTGTGAGTCTGCCAGCAAACAAAGCCCTCGAGGGGGGTAAGAAGAAGCGTCAGAGTGACGTTGCTGTCTTCCTTGGCGACTGTGAGGGGGTATGCGGAAATGCAGCAGAGGGAGGGCACTGTCCACACGCAGTCCGACCCAGGCAGAGGGGCAGGAGACGAGGAAGCGGCGAGATCTGGGCAGGCCTGAGAAGGCCGTGTCCGTTCAGTGAACATTTCCTTAGTGCCTACGAGGCCAGGCCCTGCACTAGAGGTGGGGGGGGGGGGAGGGGCGCAAGGGCAACCGAGACATGGCCCCGATGTCTCCAAGCCCCGTGAGTCCAGGGGACAGGCCCAGGTGTGAACACGGAGTGTGCCCAGGTTGCAGTGAGGGGCCTGCAGGTGGGGGAGTGGGCACGTGGAGGTCACAGAGTCGGTCACACTCCCACTGAGTTCTGTGGAAAGGCTTGTTGGATAACAAGGAAGAGGTGAATTCTGTCATTCTGAGCCTGAGCTTCAAGTGCCTGGACACGGCTCTGGTCAGTCAGGGTGATGAGACTCGGTTTGACCCGGGGTGTCCAGACAGGGCCCAAGGGGGGAGGAATTCATTCAGGACCAGCTCAGAGCCGCCATCAGCGTGGCCCGCCCCTGTCTCCCTCCCCAGGCTGGCTGAGCATCTGCGGAGGACCCGGGCGGCCGTGGTGCTCCAGAAGCAGTACCGCATGCAGAGGGCCCGCCGGGCCTACCGGAGGGTCCTCGGGGCTGCCGTCGTCATCCAGGCCTTCGTGCGGGGCATGTTCGTGCGGAGGACCTACCACCAGGTGCGTACCCATGCCAGGGGCTTGAGGGCCGAGAACCCAGACGCCGACAGCCACAAATGCATCCTCACCAACTCGGGTGTTTGTTGGGGACGCCTCAGTTTTTCCTAAGTCACTGCACAGCTCCGTTCTCACTGAACCCTATCCAAAGTCCCATGAGATGTGTTAGTTAGGGTTTTCCAGAGGAATAGAACCCACAGGAGATATGAACGTGTGTGTGTGTGTGTGTGCGTGTGCACGCGCACATATGGACATTCATGAGGAGGGATGGGCTCAGTGGTTATGGAGGCTGATGAGCCTCCTGTCTGCAGCCGGAGGGAGGCCCAGGAAAGCCAGGGGGTGTGTTCAGCTCGAGTCTGCAGGCCTCCGGCCCAGGGGAGGCTGTGGCGTGAGTCCCACCTGAGGGCAGGAGAAAAAGAGATGAGACGTCCCAGCTCAACACTGGAAAGGGGGCGAATTCCTCCTTCCTCGACCCTTTGTTCTGTTGCGCGCCCCCCCCCATGGATTCGATGGCGCCGCCCAGCCTGAGTCCACTGTGTCCAATGCTCACCTCTCTGGACACACCCTCGCAGACACCCCCCAAAGCAGCGCTTAGCCTGAGCTCCTGCGGCCGGGTGACACATAAGATTAACCATCATAGCTGGGAAGGGTGCCTGCCTCTGCCCCCCTTCGACAGCTGCGGTGCTTGGAGAGGCTGAGCCACCGCCCCAAGGACACTCAGCCAGCTCGTGGCAGAGCCCGGCGGCCCATCTCGGGCTCGCCCAGACTTGGAGGGCAGGGGTGATGTGAGACAGCGCCAGGTCCAGACCCTGTATTTGACAGATTAGCAACCTTAAGCCCAGCCCGGAGAGGCCAGGAGAGGGGCCCTGGCTCCTCCCTGCCAGGCCGTTACCCTGTGAGGCCGAGCTACCTGGTTAGGTGGCCTCGCGTCCGAACACCTCCTGCCACCAATTCCCCCCACGCACCTGACGCTCAAGGCCAAGGCCAAAAATGGGTTGAAAGGAAACGTCGAAAATGGTTTCTTATTTTTCTAAAATGAACGTCTCTACCAGGACGGAGCACACCCTGATGTGATGTGCTAGGTAGAGAAACTCAGACCGGGGGACGAAGGTTCTGTGACTGTTCCTGGGAGGTTGGTGACAGCTGTGTGACGTCACCGGGGAAGGGGCAGGTGGTACTTGGGAGGCACTAGGTGCAAACCAGCCCCTCTCAGAGCTGTGGGACCGGGCAGTCGGCCTCTTGGGGTGTTTGCTTATTTACCCCTTTATTCCACAAACGATTATTTTGCAGGGTGTTGGGGCAAGAACATTGATAACACTCTTGTGTTATCTGTGCATCCTCAGTTTTCTGAGTGGCTGTAATACGGCAGGAAAAAACAAGAACCAGTGACCCACGAGCCCTGTCTGTGGCTATAAGCCGTCAGCAGCCACTGCGGGCCCCCACTCAGGGCCCCCACCCAGGTCCCCTCACCAGTGCTGAAGCCCAATCTGGTGAATGGGGAGGTGCCGGCTGGAAGATCTTCAGACCCCTTCAACTTTGAGGCTTTTAGACTGTGGTTTGCTAACCGATAAAAAGTTAAGAAAACAAACAAACCTAAAACAAGGGATTGACAGCTGACGCCCTGCAGGCACGCGGGCTGTGGGACCTGGGGAAGACCTGCTCTCAGAGCAAATGGCCATCAGAGCCTTTCATCTTGTGGGCAGGTCCTCTCTGTGTCTCCCAAAGCTTAGTCGACCACAGCTCTCACCTCCCCCGGGCAGTGCGTGAGCCTCTCCCACTCCCATCCTGCAGCGCAGACTGACCAGGAGTGTGCTTGTCCCTTGCCAGGTCCTCCGGGAGCACAAGGCCACCATCATCCAGAAGCACACGCGGGGCTGGATGGCACGCCGGCACTTCCGGCGGCTGCGGGGCGCGGCCATCGTCATCCAGTGCGCCTTCCGAAGGCTCAAGGCCAAGCAGGAGCTGAAGGCCCTCAAGATCGAGGCTCGGTCGGCGGAGCACCTGAAGCGCCTCAACGTGGGCATGGAGAACAAGGTGGTCCAGCTGCAGCGGAAGATCGACGACCAGGTGGGGCTCGGGACCGCACCCCCACCAGGCTGGGTGCCTGGGGCGGCTCCATGTTTGAGAGACGCCCACTGCTTCCTCTGGGAACTTCACAGGCCACGGGCCCAAGCGAGTGCGCATGTCCTCAGGGTGTCCCCCCTCGGCAGCAAGGGCTGCTGACCGTGGCAGGCAGAATCACAGCCCCAAGGGTGCCCACGTCCTAATCCCCGGAGCCTCTGAGTGTGCTACCTTACGGAGCAAAGGGCACCTTGCAGATGTGATTGAGTCGAGGACCCGGAGATGGGGAGGAGACCCTGGAGTGAGTGGGCCCGGCAGCGTGTTCACAGGTGTGCTCGTCAGAGAGAGGCGGGAAGGTCGGGTTCTAAGGAGGAGGAGGGATGACAGGCCTGGGGGTGGGAGTGACGTGGGTCGTGAGCAGGGAACGTGCACACAGCCTCCAGCAACCGGAGAAGGCATGAACGGGTCCTCCCGTAGAGCCTCCGGGAGGAGCTCTCCACTTTGCTGACCCTTGTAGGCGCCTGACCTCTGGAAGTGCAGGGTCACAGGTCTGGGTTGTTTCAGGCCACTGGCTCGGTGGTCATTTGTCACGGCAGCAAGAGGAAGCTGATCCCTCGCCTGAAGTCAGGCTCTCCCTCCCTCGTCGAGGCAGCGTGATGTGGAGCCGTGGCTGGTGTTTGTGGAGGGTTCACCGCGAGCCATGCTCTGACCTACGCTCTGTCTCTCTCAACAGTGAGATGAACAGTATCCTCCTGCTTCTTTGCAGCAGTGAGAAAACTGAGGGCAAGTGACCTCCTCAAGTCGTACAGGCGACAGTGGTGGGGCCACCATCTGAGCCCCAGCTCCAGGGCCTGTTTTCTTCACCACTTTGCTCTTCTGCCCCTCTGTGGTATGGTGTGGTATGGTGTATGGTGTGTTGTGTGGTGTGTTGTGTGGTGTATGGTGTGTTGTGTGGTGTATTGTGTGGTGTGGTGTATGGTGTGATGTGGTGTGTGGTGTGGTGTATGGTGTGGCGTGGTGTGTGGTGTGGTGTGTGGTGTGGCATATGGTGTGGTGTGGTGTGTGGTGTGGCATATGGTGTGGCGTGGTGTATGGTGTGGTGTGTTGTGTGGTGTATGGTGTGGTGTGTTGTGTGGTGTATTGTGTGGTGTGTGGTGTGGTGTATGGTGTGGTGTGTGGTGTGGTGTGTGGTGTGGTGTGTTGTGTGGTGTATGGTGTGGTGTGTTGTGTGTTGTGTGGTGTGTGTGGTGTGGTGTGGTGTATGGTGTGGTGTGTTGTGTGGTGTATTGTGTGGTGTGTGATGTGGTGTGGTGTATGGTGTGGTGTGTTGTGTGGTGTGGTGTGTGGTGTGTTGTGTGGTGTGTTGTGTGGTGTGGTGTATGGTGTGGTGTGTTGTGTGGTGTGTGGTGTGGTGTATGGTGTGTGTGGTGTGTGGTGTGTGTGGTATGGTGTGGTGGGAAGAGCACGTGCTTTGGAATGAGAAAGAGTCCGGTTTGATCTCAGCACTGCTGCTCAGAACTTGAGTGACTGATCTAAGCACCTCGAGCCTCAGTTTCCTGGTCTGTAAAATGGGGCTGTCAGAGACACAGGTGAGCGGACTTTGACGAAGAGCCTGCCGTGCCGCAGGAAACTCGGGAAATGGTTATCGTTGGTAATTGCGTTCAAGCGTTTTCCTTTGTCTTGCTTCTCTGGCCCCCTTCCCGTGTCAGTGAGTCACATGAGTGACAAGTCATTGGTCCAGTCCCTGCAAGTGCGGGGTGCTGTGCGGGGTGCTGGGAGGGATCCCAGACAGACGCGGGACACCGGCACCCCCGCTGGCTGGAAAGGCAAGGCCCGTGTGTGCGCACGACACCCCTGCAGCCACTTCGCGGTGGCCCGGGGGCCAGCCTTCCCTCTCCTCAGATCGACTCGACGGACCGCTGCTGGTGCTTTGGTGGCTCGGTGAGCAGGGGCGACCCCGACACACACTGGAAGCAGGGTTGCCAGGGAGCGGCTGGACCCCGGGGGGGCCCCCGCCACCCCGGCTTTTCTCCGATCACCAGGCCCTGCAATAGGTATTTCATGTTCCCTCTCATTTGATCTTTGCACAGCTTTGCAAGGTCATTTTACAGTAGAGGACATTGTGGGTCAGGGACACCAGGTGCCTTGCCAAGGTCAGAGAATTAGAAAGGTCTAGAACCAGCATTCCAGCCCAGGTGTCTGACCCCACCGCCATAACTAGGGTGATGCAAACATTTCAATCCCAAGCATTACTGAGTTTCAGTTCTTTCCTGTGCCGTTGCTCCTCTGGGCTCCCAGAGCCGGAAGGGAGCTCACTCAGTGTTACTTTGCTCGTGCACGGTGTTAGGGCGGCCACAGGAGCAGGCCCCTGCAGCTCCTGGAGGGTTTTTGGAGAGGGAGGGAGAGTGTGCGCCGAGTGTGCATGGTGTGGGCGTGTGGGGAAAGGGGGCGAGTTAGAGTTGGGGCCACCAGGCATTGCCTGGGAGGTCACTTGGTTTTATTAGACCTATTCTATGCTAAGCAATTTTTAGGTTTCTCATGACCCCAGTAGAGCAAGAAAACAAATGAGCCATTTCATACCAGAGCCAGCTGCCCAGAACAAGAGCCCCAAAGCAGTGCAGAGATGGCAGTACCATGTTCCGGCTCCTCTGCTCTTGCACAAAAAAAAAAAATTCCTCTTAAGAGACCATCACTGGAGGTTTCCCTTCTCTGTGTGAGTTTTGCAGAGTGTCCAGGTTGGCACGGCTCCTTAGTGGGGAAGCAAGGCAGACACCTGCGTGTGGGGTAAGGACACTCGGCGCCTGCCTGCAGCGACGTGCAGGGTCGGGGAGAGGGGCCACTGTCTCAGAGGGACAGGAGTGCAAAGGAAGAGATATCTGGTCTCTGGGACCGGACATTTGAAAAATGCCAGCGCAAAGGTGTCCAAGTCTTTTATTATTGCTGTTGCGGCTGCTGATATCTGACCAGAAGAGGTATTTGGGGGGTCCAATTTTGCCAATTACCTTCTGAGCAAAGGATAGTCGGAGGGACGAGAAGGCTTTGTGGGCACCGCCCAGCCACCTCAGCCCATCAGGCCTGGCGCTGGCTTTGCTGATTTCCGAAGCTGACTTGAGAGGTTAAAAATAGGTCTGGTATTTTACAACTCACGTGCTTGAACATCAAAGGGAAGCAAATTTAAAAGGCTATTTTTAAAAAGAGCTTTTGCCTTTGGCTTCCTGCTTGGCAAGCATCTGGGAGTGGTGGCGGGTGTTACCCTCCCGGGGCAGGGGCCCTGTGAGCGGGGGGTGGTCAGGGGAGGCGGGAAGGATGCATCAGATCTTGCTTTCTTGCACCCCTCCCCATGTTGCCTGACTATGTGCCATTCACTGTTCTCAAATTCACATAGGAACTTATTTAACCCACACCGTAACCCTATGAAATAATACCAATATTATTCACTTTTTAAACTGAGGCACAGAGAGGTTAAGTAGCCTGGCCAAGGTTACACAGCTAGTAAGTGGCACGCCTTGGCACTCTGGCTCCAGAGCGTGTTTGCCACCTCTGACCAGTGCGGACAGTGTTAGCCTCAGACTGGCTGGCCCCTTACAGGGGGGTGAGCCCTGGGGTCATGGGCCACGCCGGGCACTCTGCTGTGTGAGGGGGCGTCCATATGATCTGTGGCACCAGCTCGTCAGAGATTCTTGCATCAGGGCAGCCTCTCAGCGGCAGGGCCACCACTGGCAAGTGAGTGGGTTTCTGTTCTTTCAGCGATGCCCCCGCCACACAGGGCTCTCCAGCGGAGGGAGAGGACACACGTGTGCCGGGGTGACGCAGACAAAGTCATCTCCAAGCATCTACAGACAGTACGGGGTGGATGAGCTCCCAGCCAGATGGAGGCCTGAGTTCTGGCTCAGTTACATTTGCAACAGAGCTGACAGCTTGCGGTCAGGGCCAAACCTCCCCTTGGACCCTGAGGTCTTCTGGGTGTGGGGGTGTGAATGGGGGAAGGGTTGGCTTATGGTCTCTAAGGTAACTCTTAGTTCCACAATGCACTGACACCATGGTGGGGCTAGAGGAGTAGTTCCCAGCTCCCAGGGTGGACGGGGGGGGGGGGGGGGGGGTGGGTAGTGGGGTGGAGGGTAGTCGGTGCTTTTAAGTTGTCAAGAAGTCAGCAAGGGAGGAAACTGAAAAATAAAACCAGGGTAAGGCTAGAGGCCAAAGTTCATGTGTAGGCTTTGTGACCCAGCTAGAATAACACAGAATCGGCACACCATCCCAAGGACACTACAGAAAGGAGGAAGCAGGGCCACTGGACAGTTGCTGGAAGAGGAGGAGAAGGACCGGAGCTGTCCTTGGTGCTGACGCCTTCTTGTGTGCTTTTGTTACGTGGTGTAACCAGCCTCAGGCTTCACAACGTCCTTCAGCAGGAAGTACCAGTGACAGTTCCTGGGGCCAGTTTTCACAGTGTCCTTGGTGGAGGCCATGCTGTGACATTTTTCAGCTGAAATGTTGTGACCTGTGAACTCAGCTTTGCCAGTGCGGCTTCTCTTGGGCAAACATGTAGAGCGACTCGTTCCAGTGGCACCTGCGATCTTTTCATAGTACAGGTCAAGTTTCTTAGGCCTTTATGAATATAAGGCTATGTTTAAATATATTTTACCTGAAAAATGTTGACACAAACATATGACTTCACTCAGTAGCCTTTTGTTTTTAAACTTCACCTAAGGACATGCTTATTGATTTTAGAGAGCAGAGAAGGGAGGACAAAAGAAGGAGGGAAATATCGATGCAGGAGATAAACATCAATTTTTTACCTCTCATTGCACTCTGACCAGGGGCTGAACCCACAACCTGGGTGTGTGCCCTGACTGGGGATCGAACCCTCAACCTGCCAGTGTATGGGGCAATGCTTCAACCAACTGAGCCACACTGGCCAGGGCAATTGCCTTTTAAATCAGTTTGATTGAGTACACTTAGTATGCACACAGTAAATGTGTCCAATTTTTTCATGTTTATGATCACAAAAGCATCCATATACACTTGAAAAATAATATGTTACAAGTCACAGCTTTTGGCCTTCCGTGCCTCAGTTTTCTCAACTGTGAAATGGGGCTGTGAACCAGCCTTACTACATAGGGTTTTTCCGAGGAGTGAATGAGTTAATATGCCGGATCATGCACCACAGGGCCTGCCGTGTAGCAAGCGCCCATTAAGTACTAGTACTGTGTGTAGGGTATGTCATTTTTCATGTTGCAGCCTGTCTTGAGATGGTTTGACCCACCCCTCTCTGCAGAGCACTGGTTGGGAACCGCTCAGAGGCTCTTGCGTACAGCTCTGCAAGCTGTGCTCTGCGCAGGGTGACTGGCCGTGCGGCCAAGTGGGGCTGAAGTCCAGCCCACACCCTGATCTCCTAACCAGGAGCCCTGGCTCGGTGCTGCCCTCAGGTCGGCGGGGTCTCAGCCTCGAGGTGCCACGGCATGTGTAGCATTTTACAGGGCCAAAAGCTGTCCTTTTCTCCTCAGTGATTCCCCTAGAGCTTAATTTCTGGTGTAAATGAACAATTGATTCCTGATGCCCCCGCTTATTGGTATGTTAGCCAGGAGCCCTGTTTTCTCCAGAGCTCCTGCAGAAACTGGCAACAAACAATCACCAGTGACTATTGTTGCTTGACTGATTATTTGGAGAGCCCTGCTTCCCTCTGCACTTGCCCCGCTGGCCACTTGGCAGCTGATGCTCTCAGAGACTGCAGGACCAGTTGTGCCCATGTGTCCACTGGTACTCGACACTGGCCTTGGGTCCTCAATGCTTCACCCATGTGAGCTCATCTGCCATCCACTTCCCAGGCCCCCCTTCCCCCATGCCTGTGCCAGGCCCGGGGGGGAATGCTGCTCATGTCTACCTATTGCCTGAGCGGGCACGTGAGCGGGCACGCCATCTGCAGGGCACGGCATGGACGGACTCTGCCCGGGCCTCGGTTCTGGAGTCGGAGCCCTCCAGGGCACGCTGACAGGTGGTGAGAGGGATCCCGGGGCCCTGTGGAGGGCCTCCTTGGACGAGGGATGCTGAAGGGGGCCTTTGTCTCAGAGCCAGAGATTAGGTTGCAGCTCTTTGTGCCAGCGAGGCCAAGGGTAGGAGGGCCCAGTGTGGCCGAGCAGGGAGTTCGGGGAAGCAGAGGCTGCGGACCCAGGAAGCCAGCTACGCTGTTCCCACACTGAAAACCGAGGCGTGCGGTCTGTCCAGCCGGGCACAGAGAGCTGCCTGCTCTGCCTCGGCTCGTCGTAGTCGCTCCTTGAGCACCAGCATGGGCGGTTTTGTTTTCCTGTGTTTCTTCTCCTGGCCCACAGCAGAGCCGTGTTAGGGAGATGCCGGAAAGCACGGGGCATGCAGTGAGTGTGGGGTTCAATGCCAGCTTCAGTGTCCCTTTTGTTTTTCAACTTGCCTTCGTGTTTTTTCCCCAGCCAGATAACGTTGCTCTCCACCTCTTCTCCCCTCTCCCTGTTTTGTTCTCCGCAGAACAAAGAGTTCAAGACCCTGTCGGAGCAGCTTTCCACAGTCACCTCCGCCCACGCCGTGGAGGTGGAGAAGCTGAAGAAGGAGCTGGCCCACTACCAGCAGAGCCGAGGTGGGGACAGCAGCCCGAGGCTGCAGGAGGAGGTCGAGAGCCTGCGGACCGAGCTGCAGAAGGCCCACTCGGAGCGCAAGGTCCTGGAGGACACCCACACCAGGGAGAAGGATGAGCTGAGGAAGGTACGGCGGGGCCGGGGGAGGGGGCCTCGGCGGTGGGTGAGCCGGCAGAGCATCCTCCCCGGCACTGGCATCCCCCTGCTGACCGTCCCTCTGTGTTTAGACGTGGAGTCCCCTCACAGGTGTTCACTGAGCTTCCACCGTGAGCTGAACACTCGGCATCCCCCGAGGGGGACACACGTGGCTGGTTTTGGGTGTAGCCTGGAATTTTCTACTGTGTCAGCTTTGTGGGCTGAGCCTTTGTTGGCAAGAGAGATGGTGCAGAGGTAGTGGCTTTTCTCCTTGACATTGCCCGCAGGGGCTACAGGCAACCTCAGACACCCCTACTCACGGCAAGTCCTCATGATCTGGTGACTGTATCGTGGGTGTTGGTAGTTTCAGCCTGACTCACCCACTCTGGTTGGTGTGCTCCGTGGGTTTCCTCTCTGCCCATGAGACTGGTCTTCCTGGCTTTGGCCCACACACTGCCATCGCGAACGTCGGGAAACAAACAGTCCTGCTCCTTTCCCAAGGCAGCTGTCCCAACCAGGGGTGTTCTGTGGGCCGCTGGAGAGCCTTCCGTGGAGTCAATACAATGCTGCGCTCTCCCGCATCCCCACAATGGCCCTCATGACACCTTGCCCTCTTGTTTTGCATCCAGCTGTGGCTGGAGGGCCTCAGCAGGTTGAGAATCCGAGGAGGGAGGAGTTCAGAGTTCCCAAAGTTGGAAAGTTGATGTTACAACTTTCCCGTGTAAGGTCCGGGTCAGGCCGAACGCGCCCGCAGACAGGGCTCAGGGGTCGGCGGCCGTGTTTCCGGTTCTCACTCCTGCCCTGCCTTCATCGAGTGCGTGTGGGGAGCCTCAGTGGCCTTAGTTCCCACTCCTGTTTTTCTTAAATGTTGGTCTGGAATCGGGGGTGTCCACCCTGAGGCCTGTAGGCTGCATGTGGTTCCGGATGGCTATGAATGCAGCCCACCACAAAATCATACGTTTACTTAAAACATTATGAGATTTTGTTTGTGATTACGTGTTGCAGTGTATTTAATGTGTGGCCCAAGACAACTCTTCTTCCAGTGTCGCCCAGAGACACCAAAAGGTTGGACACCCCTGGGATCCTCTCTAAGGCCCCTTCTGGACTTGCAGCTGGCCACCTCCACGGGATAGTGTTCGATGGCCTCTGGAAGGACAGAGGGTCTCAGCCCACTCCGTAGGGCCTCCCGCTCCCTGCCCTGTGACCTTGCTGCGGTGGGAAGCGCGCAGACGGCCGTTTGGGACGAGAGCCTGCAGAGCCGGCTGGAGCTGGGCTCAGGGAAGGCGTTTTCCTGTCCCAGGCAAAACCGCAGCACCGTCGGCCACTGACTTCCCAGATCTCAGGGGTTTCCCGGGAGTCAGAGGTGGGGTCCCCGGGGGACTGGGTGGCTGAAAAGAGTGAGACATGGGATTTCCCGACGCAGGCAGCCTGGCACAGAGAGGTCCTCGCACCCCCGGGGTGTTGCCCAGATAGTTCTGCCAGCTCGGCCACCACGAGGCCCGCAGTAAACTCTGTTCTTTGGGGTGAAACATGTTGCGCTGGGAAAACGAGCCACAGCCTGTGACCGCAAACCATGAAGCTCGGCTCCTGATGCCTGTTGACCCTTGGGGGCATATGGCCAGCAAGCCTTCCATGTGAATACAAATAAGAAAGTGGAATCCCAGGCAGAGAGAAGAAGCCAAGGTCAGAACTGGAGAGACTTGTGACTGGAGGCCCTGGGAGGGATGGAACGGGGTTCCCTATGGGGGAGGGGGCAGTCAGGAGAGACATGTGGCCCGACCGTTGACCCGGCAGACCCACAAAACAGGGTCTCCTGTCTCCACCCACAGAAAGCACCTCACTCCTCAGCTCCCCAGCCTCCTTCCCTGCTGCTCCTTGGGCTCTGTGACCGGGGTCTCAGAGCACTATTAATGTTTTTTCATTGATTTGAGAGAGAAAGAGAATCATTGATTTGTAGATCTACTTGTTTGTGCACTTACTGGTTGCTTCTTGTGTGTGCCCCGGCTGGAGCTCAAACCCGCAACCTTGGCGTATTGGGACAGTGCTCTAACCCACTGAGCTAGCCTTCCAGGGTTCAGAGCACTTTTAAAATACCCAAGTCTCCGTCCATGGGGGCCTCAGGTTTATTATATGAAAGTCTTCCTCAGCAGAGCAAAATAGAGAAATGGACACCTTCCTCCTCTCCTTTAAAAAAATGGTTACTATTTCCTGGGAGTGTGTCGAGCTAGGTCTTAAATACAGTGAGAGTTTGGAACTGGCAAGGAGAAGAAGAAGAAATTCAAGGGCACTGCAAGAATGCGAACAATAGAACAATAGATGCAGAGGCAGAGCCAGAAAAGCAACCTTCCCTGACCCCAAGCATCAGCAAATCCGGAGCCTGCAACCCGAGAACAAATGGGCATAAGATGATTCATTAAGTGCAGTGTCCGCCTCTTTCCAGGAAGAGAAAGAAGCGGAAGCAAATTTATTCCTTCTCTAGGGTCTCCAGAATCTTTTCATTCTGGCGCTGGAGGTGAGCGGGGAGCATGGAGGCTGGCTTTCTTTTCTCCTTTCATCTTCGGCGCCTAGCCAGGGCTTACTGTTTATCAAAGGCACCGTGTCCAGTCTTAACAAATGCCGAACAGCCAGACAATCGGTTTCCTCTCGGGCTTGTCCAGGGCCCGCTCTGCATGGGGCGAGATCAGGGAGACGGGGAAAAAGCCGAGAGGGGAGCAGACAGCGGGTGGATGTTTAATTAATGGATCCAATGTTCCTGTCGGCAAACGCCGTGTCAGAACCGGCGTCCTGGAGACGGGGCTCGCCACCCGTGACGGCGTTCATTGTCCGGCCACGCGGCTGCACGGCCTTGGGCTGTGGGAGGCCAGGTCCTCCTGGGGCAGGAGCTCACCCCGTGTCCACGGGGCCACGTGAGTTAGCTGACTCCCTTTCTGCTGCAGGGGCCCGTTCTTGGGGCCCCTCCCAGAGCGGGCCACACCAGGCCTTCCACCTCTGTCCCCCTCGGCTTGTGCACTGCGGGCGTTTTGTTCTTTTAAAGCCATCGGTGACCCCGTGCTGACCAGCCGACTTGTGCAGCTGAGCTGCTTTGTGTCCCTAGTGAGCGAGACGTGGCTCCCAGAGCTGCCCTTGACACAGAGGCCATGGCTTGTCATCCAGAAGCTGCTCTGCGTGTCTCCTGGCAGGGCCAGCGAGGCCCGGCTTGGGGCGGGGCTGCGGGCCGGTGAGGAAGGGCGGCCCACAGCCAGGTGCCGGCTCTGAGCGGGGGCCCTTAACCCCCTGCCAGGGGACAAAGAGCTGCCCCGGGCCCTGAGCGGCCAGACTGGCAGTGTTAGGGCTGTGTGTTACGTGGTATCACTGGTGACCCAACCACCAGCCACACTAGTCGGTTACCGTGGGCCCTGCAGTATAAAGGTTCGGGGATTTTCCAGCACAAGCAGGGAGGTGTGACCATTGGGGAGCAGGGCCCTCACAGTGGCGTGGCCGAGTCTCCCCCACCCCCACCTCCGAAGGTGCAGAGCTGGTGCCTGGGGCCAGCGAGGACTCCGAGCTGGGCTCTCCACAGCTCCAGGGGTCACGGTTCCTAGGAAGGCCGAGGGCTGTTAGAAAGAGGACCCCCCTTCCTCATTTCCGTGGAAGGACAGTGTGTCACTGCAGAAATCGTGGAAGGTCGTGGCCCTTCGTTTATTCCGCAGACACTTATTGAGAGCCCGTATTTGTGGGACACTGTTCTGCACACGGGGCCTCAGAAAAGTTTCAACAAACTCCCATCCTTATGGAGCGTCAGTAGTTGGGGGCTGTGGGGGAAGGTACAGACAGGACGTTAGTGCGAATTATCCACCGTGTGCTACAAAGAAAACCGAAGCAGAGTACAGGGGGGAGAGGAGGGCCTTTGGGGGCAGAGGAAGGTGTGGTTCCATTTCCGACGGCCAGAGGCCATCTCCCTGAGAAGACACCCAAGTGAGGTGAGGGGCGAGCCCCGTGGATTTCTAGGGAGTGGGCGACCAATGGGGCAGCAGGTGCAAGGCCTGAACAGGTGGGGGTAGGCTGGGCAGGTTCGAGGACCAATAAGGAGACCATCTGACCGACCAGGAGGCTCTTCTGACCTTGAGGGCAGCGTTGGCCATGAAACCAGCTGAATGAACCGTCTCAGGCCCTCAGTCCCTGCAGCACGCACCGGTTCCCTCCACCCTGAGCTCCTTCCTGGGGCTCTTGCTGCCGGAACCAGTCGTTTGCAGCCGTAGGCTGTCAACTTCAAGGTTCTCCCCAGACCGGCCTTCGGAAAGATGGGGGGGGGGGGGGCGGGCAGTGTGACACAGCAGTTTGGAGCTGGGTGCCACACCCAGACCACCAGGGCCTCACCCAGCTGTTCCCCTGCCTGGCCGTGTGGCCTGCGGCAAATTCTCTCATTTTTTGCACCTTAGCTTCCCTAAAAGCTAATAATGACGGCACCTACCTCAGAGGCATTAAATAAACTTGTAGCAGGGCCTGGAGCAGAGCGAGAGCTCCATCAATGCTGTCCTCATCAACCAGCCCATCACTTCTAGGAGCAGGGCTGTGCCTTGCCCTGCCTGGACCCATCCTGGCCCCCAGCCCAGTGTTCCACACAGCGGCTGCTGAGTAACGGCAGTAGCACCACAGCGCTGGGCCAGGTCTGCTCTCTGATAGCCTCTGCTCTGCGGCTCTTCCTGAAGTGGGAGAGCGCCCCACCCTGGGTTTTGCTTCTCTAACTGCACAGGCACCTCACACAGCCCTGGTTGCAGGTGAGTTCAGATTTTGTTTCCACACCGTCCTTCTCCCACTTCCTGTCTCTTCTTCTCTCTCCTCTGCTTCTCAGCCCCATTTCCCACGGACTAAATGACTCCCTGTATGTAGAGTATTCATGCTTATTTGTTGTACTCTCAGAGAAGAGGCAAGTGACCCATGACAGGACTCTGAAGGATTAGAGGTGCTGTCCCTGGCAGGACCACGCCTGTAACTTTCTGCTCCATGGTGGGTGCGCAGCATCCAGGACCAGGGGTGCAGGCACAACAGTGGGCCCACGAGCCTTTCCCGGTGGTCAGCATCCAACCGTTCGTTCCACGGTGTCCACCAGAAACCTTGCCTCCGGCTCCCAGTGCGAACACCGAGCTTGGGGAAAGAGATACATCCAGACAAAACCAGAGCCCAGAGCTGTTGAGTGCATTTGTGTCCCTACAGGCTAGCTGGTAGAGGCAGTTCTTGAGCACAGAGCTGGGACACGTGTGTCATTTACCTCACAGGGACTGCGTCAGCCTGACAGTGGCAGGATTCACCCCAGCACTGGCTCCGATGGTGGGTCCCAAATAACCTTTTAGGAGGAGGAGACATTCCTGGTAACGCTGCCTGCAAAGCTAAAAGACCCCTGCAAAAAAGTGGGGCTGCTGAATGAGGGTTAAGGAGCCCCCGAAACCCAGCAGGTGTTATTTATCATGCCGAGAGGACGCACCTGGTGCTTGTTAAGTGCCTTTCCCTGCCGCCTGCATCCCTGACAATCGAGAAAAGGAGGCCATCTCACTGCAGAGGTTTGCCACCTGCCATGTCTGCCAGCAAACTGTCCACACACTGGCTGGCTGGGAAGGCGAGGGGTGGCCAGGGTCTGGGGAGACGTAATGGGGGAAGCATTCTCTTCCTTCCCGGGGTGTGGGGCCGAGTGTGGGGTCCATTCCTCCCACTGTCCCCTAAAGAACAGGAACTGGGACCCCCTCCAGAACTGCTCAGGAAAGGAAGACAAAGAAACTCCCAATGCCACTTTGATGTATGGCTTAGAGTCGCAAAGCCGAGTGAGTCCCTGGGAGGCCAGCCTGCATGAATCAAAGCCTTGGAGGGCGATAGAGGGGAGGAGGGAGGCCCAAGTGGGCCCATGCCGTTGGCCGTGGCTCTGCCAGATGGTGGTCTCCGAGGAGGCGTCAGGGCGCGAGTGGCTGCAGTGAAGTCGGGTGACATCGGGCCGTGTTCGTGGGGGCGGAGGTTTCAGGTCCAGCCCAGTGGTAACGGCATGTGCTCCGTACCGGTCAGAGGATATGTTCCTCTTCCAAGGGACATGACTGTCTGCAGGATGCTCAGAGGAAGGTGACGAGGCCAGTGAGGGATCTTGGAAGCCTCCTCAGGGGACCACCTGCTTTGTGAGCCATCGACGTACTCAGAGGGTGGTTAGGGGAGGCCACGTCCCTTCCCCACCTGCTATGAAATCATGCCCTCACCCCCTGTGGTCAGTGAAGTCAGGGTGACAGCCTTGCTCCTGGCCAGGGTGACTGGAGTCCTGTCCCCCTGACCCTCAGGCTCACCTCAGGCCACACTCTGGGCGTTATTTGCAGAGGCACGGACGGTGTGGGTTCCTGTTCGTTGTTTGAGGTCCGGTGTGACTTGTACATCTAGGAAAGGAAGATGCAGGCTATTTTGATGATTTGCCCAAGTAATTTGAGGGCTCCCATGAAGTCATTGGGGGTCAAACTGCCTCTGACAGCAGTGAATTGCTCGCACTCACAGAGCGCTGTCCCTGTGCTGTGTGTGCCTCCTGAGTTACCTGAGTAAACAAGGTCATGGGGTCGAGACGTTTTGGTCAACTGCAGACGGCAACGCAGCCCCCGTTTTTGTCCGGGGAGAGGCCTCCGGCGGACCTGGTGGTACGACGCCTGGCAGGGCAGTCCCCTGGCCTGTGTTGAGAGCTTTGGAACAGGGTCGTGGGTGTCTGGTGGGGAGAGGCCAGGGGTGTTGCTGGACATTGACAGTGAGCAGGACAGCCCCCCACTCCACCAACAGTCATTCAGCCTGCAGCGCTGCTGGTTGAGAAAGCCTGCTTTACAGGAACCTGCTGCCCAGGAGCCCTTGCTGGTTTCTTACTGTCACGCACCTGCCCCTCAGCCCCGCTGGGCAGACACTCTCAGAGGGTAGCTACTATGACTCTTGTTCCTTCTGCATCCCCCGGCCTCTGGCAAGGCTGCTGGCGCAGAGGTGCATGCAAGCAAGTGTCTGGTGGACAAACGTGCCGTCCCAGGGGCCGGAAGGAGGCCCGGTGAGGGGCGGCTCCCACGACGAAATGGCACCGTCCTCAGCGCCGCGTTGTCTCCTGTCCCTCACCCGCACCGCCAAACCGGGGTGAGTCCCTCCAGACACAGAACCTCTGTTGCGTTAGTTATAATAGACAATGTATTGCACATGCAATGTGCAATAGCTTTGTGCCCGCCTCATCTCATCTGATACCCTGTGGGGGGCAGAACGTGCCCCTTGTCTGTCTCTCCATAAAGAGTCTCTGACCATAAAGGGGCTTACAGTCTACTTGGCACAAGGGCCGTCTTCTGAATAGCAAGACGTAAGACCAGTGGATGCCAACCTGCAGTAGTGTCCGAATCACACACACTTCTGTAACTCTCGGCAGTGCGGCCACAGGTGAGCCTCGGAGAGAAACCACATCCGTCTGAATTGAGACAGGTCAAGAGGAGCCACAGTGGCGTGTAGCAGAGAAGGGACAGTTT